GTCCCATGCTCGTCTGAGACTGCACTACGTTGGCATGAACCGCGCCACCCATACCAACCGGCATGTTTTGCTGCATCGACATCGGAATGTTCTGATGTCCCATTGACACCTGTGACACGGGTTGATTAGGCACGTACTGAACGCCACCCATCTGTCCCTGCCCGCTCACTTGCTGCGGTAACATATTCTGCTGAGCCATATGCTGCCCAACAGGCATTTGCTGGCCAACGTTGGCAGGCTGCATGAATATCTGATCTGAGGCGGGTATCTGCATACTAGGCTGATTCCCGTCTAGAGTCATCTGCATATTCTGGGGCGCGGCAGTCATCATCTGCATGTTCCCTTGCGGCACATTGCCCTGTTGTGGGGCCATCGTGTGAACAGTTGGAGCTTGTTGCTGGCTAAGGCTCTGGAGATTCGCAGGTAATGTTGAGCCTTGTGGCTGGGAAGCCATAGTTTGAAGATTTGTAGGAAGAGTCGCACCTTGCTGTGATGTAACAATACTTGTGAGCACCTCTTGAGGCAATGTTTGACCTTGTTGGCTCATTTGTGATTGCTGTGTATGATATTGAGGAACATTATGTTGAGCCTGCACTATAGGCTGTTGAGATGATGGCATAGTAGCACTAATCATTGACTGTGCATTAGGTTGTTGATTGACAGCTTGATTATACTGAGTCTGAACAGTCGGCATACCCTGTTGTGGTAATTGAGGGTGCATACCTGGTACAACTGACTGCTGCGCTTGTGTAGGAATTTGATGCATTTGAGTAGGCATCTGTGACATTTGTTGGCTAGCTCCTGTCAGTTGAGCAGGCATTTGCATCTGTTGTATGTGATTTGGTATCTGCTGGCTTTGTAGAGCTTGCATTTGTTGAAGCTGCGCTTGTTGTGCCCCCATAGACTGTTGCCCTTGCAAGTGATGACTTTGACCCATATTAGAAATTTGAGCTTGTTGCATATGCATCTGTTGAGGGTTTGGTTGGCCCTGCATTTGTTGGATTTGCATTTGTTGCATCTGTGGTTGTTGATTAGCAACTTGTGGTATCTGGCCTTGGTTCGGCATTGGCTGCATTTGTGGGATTTGTTGCTGTATTTGTTGTATATTAGTCATTTGCGCCTGGGGCATATGTTGATTCATCTGTTGCATTTGTTGATTCTGAATTTGTTGCATCTGTTGTGGCATTTGTTGATGCATTGGTATCTGTTGCATAGCCATGCCCTGCGATTGTGCAATAACTTGCTGCAGTTGGTGTTGTGGAAAACTTTGTGGTATTTGTTGAACTTGTTGCTGCTGGGGCGGCTGAGGATGATTTTGGGGCTGATTCTGCATTGTAATATGTGTCATGCTCTGGGGGTGCTGCTGGGTTACCTGCTGAGTGTGGGTTTGATTTGACATCTGTTGAGGCAACTCTATCGGTGGTGATTGCACAGAAACAGACTGATTTCCAGAAATCTGCTGTTGCACTACATTGACAGGCTGAGTTAGTGATTGCCCAGGTGATGCCATAGGGAACTGTTTTTGAATAGCCTGTTCCAGTTGTTGTATGGTAGGTGCATTTCCTTGAAGATCCTTAGGCCCCTTGTTTGTCAGATCATTACACATATCATCATGTTGACTATCGTTAATCACAACACCACTGTCAGGTGCTTGCAGCGTATTAGTATCTGTCACATCTAAATTGTTGTTTAATGTAATTGGTGCATTTTGTTGAGTAGTAGTGTGATCCAAATAATCCATACACATCCATCGACCCCTACGGAACGGTTCTGTACTTTCAATTTTAACAACTTTAAATCGTTCATTCCTAACATGTTCTTGTATTTCTTTCATACCTTCTTGGGGTTTAGCATTTCCTATGAGATTAATGATACTGCCCGTCCCGGCGTTAGTAACACTGACGTGCATGTCACTCACTTCAGAACTATTACTATTTGGCACTGTTCCTCCTATTTGGTTGGTGTTGTTATCCTGGCCGACGATCGCGAGACCGTACTGGGAACTAGTCGGAATGACGGGCGCACAACCTAATGATGCACTCGACGCGTTGTAAAACACATCGTCTTTAGAAAAGGTGTCCTCGGAGTAACTCGGTGTCTCATTCTCGATATCCGTCACTCTTGAGATGTCATCGGTGTGAGATTCATCTAGATCGTCGGCCGAATCTTCTCCAGCATCAGTGCTCACTCGAGAACCAACCGTCACACTGGTGATCTGAAACGAAGATATTTTCCTTGGGTTATGTGTGGCTTGTAGGCTCGTCGGGTGAGTCACTCCCTTCTCCGACTCGTTGAGACGAAGAGATTCGCTCGTAGTTCGGTGAACAACGTTGTTATACTTGTTTTTCTCACTAGTTTTATGTGACTTTTGAATCAGATTGTCAGCCATTATGCCGTCCGAATTGAATGACTATCTAAAGAAAATTTCACTGTTAATTGGCTTCAGAGACATTTGATAGACTTTTAAACACAACAACGTATAAAATATAAAAGCATTGTACACTCACAATTTCACAAACACAATAATTTAAGTATTTAAGTTCTTAAAATTCATTAGTAAACACACACAGTTGCGAACATCTTTCAGACGGCAGCAACATGGCGGCCATTTATGCGCAATGCATTATGGTTGACAATTTGCAGACGACTATAGACATTCTAGACGTCTATTCTTTAGTTGACATCTATGGTCGCTAGATGCCAGTATAGTACCAACAATAAATAATTTTAAGATATTAAGAAATAACAAAGAATATTTTTATAAATATTGTTTTACATAATATTAACTAACAGTAACTTTTTTTTATGTAATTATTTGTATAGACAAATAGAATTGAATTCTTTTTACAAAATGTTATTAGTTGGGGGCGCTGATATCCTCTTTAATAAATGCAATTAAAATAATCACAACAATTTTAATAGTTAATTATCGATAATATACATAATTTTATTATACGGTTATATTTATAATTATTGGTTACTTATTATATTATTAGATACAGAGAGTATTAGGCAGGAAAGATGCAATACAATCATTATTGGCGTAGGTCAATTTTTAGTCAATTGATATTGAATAAAATTATTAAGCAATTAGATTGATTATTAGATATTATGCATTACTATTATTTTATAAAGAAAAAATATACCTAACTTTTATTGTTATTTCTTTTTTTAAAGAATAAATTAATTTTGATTTATAATTCTTCTGGGCACAAGATGGCGCATTAAATACGTACAATTTGTCATCGGTAGTTATTACTACTCGGCTGTAGATGGCAGTGGCATTGTAAATATTTTCGTATTATTTGTATTATTTTAGTAACGTATGTCATTACATACGTTACTAAAATAATACAATAATTAAATTAAAACATTTACGCAGATACTAATATCGTATTTTAAAACGTACACTTTCTTAAATATTATTATTTCATAATTGTTAAAAAGTTCTCATCATAAACATTCAGTTACTTCAATTTAAATATCTTTTATAAAGTTATGTTTCTATTTCTAAGAACAAACATTAATTTTTAATATAATAACTATGTCTTACTTTTAGCATCAAAGTGACAAGAGTCAACAAAGAATTGCATGACGGCTGTTTACGTTTTCGTCGATAAGTTTATATGGAAATTTTTGTTCCAGAAGCCGCCAGAGGTGCAGCAAATTTTCCATACAAATTATTGTTAATGGAATTGTAGATCTGCATTAGATTCACATCAAGATTACTGGTTTATTATAAAATTACTATAAATATATTAATTCAAAAGTTTGATTACTTATTAGAAATAATTCGGTCCTTTTCGAATTTCTATTAAAGGAAAAGTTTTTTCCTCGTTAAATAATCGAGCCATGTTGTAGTTTCTAATAGTAAATTGGGAAATCCTTAGGCGTATTTAAGTAGGAGTACGGGGGGTGTCTTAACCACCCCAGAATTGTCTAGTGCTAACCCTAGGATGTAAACATTTTTGTAAGTTCATATACGCGCCTTCAAGCCCACCGTAAATAATTTTAATTACGCCAATGGTGGAAACATTGATGAAGAATGGCATAGCAGTGCGCGATGGATAAAAAAGGTTGCATTGTATTTTTACTTATTTAATAATATTATGCTTGTAATGATAATTTCATCAAGGCTCCATTTCAGATTTTTTTATGCAACTTAAAATGGCCAACAAACTGACCGCCCACATGATGATAAGTGGTATCCTTCGCCTATAGACACCTCTATACTCTGTATCTAATTTTCATTACCTAACCTAATTTAATAGGGGGAAAAGGGATTGTTAGTAATGGCGTATAACAGCCCCATTGCTAGCAATATATCCTATCAGGTCGACCTCCACGCGGTTTCCCCCGTAAACCACCGTGGTTGATTATAGTCAAATTCATCGCGATACGGCCAATTAACCTGACTTCATCCTTACCTTACTGGTGCTCCGCCAGTGTATACCGATAGCATAGGTGGGGCGCTATCATTCCATTAGCACCCATTAAAAAAAACTGTCACTATTGGTGGCAAACAATAGAGTCGCCAGTAGTAGTCGCCGTAAAAAAGTTAAATAATATCGAATAAGCAATTAATACTCAAAACTCATTTATCAGTGTTCAAAAATAACAAAAAAATCACTTACTTCCTGTTTTTCAGATCTATATATATAAATGATCAAATTGCATTATGTTTGACATATACAGAATTACTAATTTCTGTAGGTGGGTTATGTTATATTCAATAAATTATATAAAAAAATGAATACTTACAATTCAGGACAGCATCAGAAGATTCCGGCTAATTCGCAACCCGTGCCACCACATCGGGAACTAAAGGCCCATATCAAGCAGCGCCCCGATCCCGGCTATTACCTACAAGGTCTTTGGATCGCCAACCGATTTAGCCAACATCCCCACCAATCGCTGTGACACTTCTTAAACGAAGGTAATTTGCTATTATTTGTAAATTGGTGTGCCGCTGCCACGTCCGCCACTGTCCGCTCCCGCCGCAGTCGCTCGGGAGCACGGGACCCTCATTGGATCTCCCGATAGCTCCGAGCACTAAACCTAAAAAAACATTAACTCTCGCAACCCAATCTAAAGATCGGGTCTAAGTAAACACTTGTCACATTTACAACCGATAGGCTTTTCTACTGTTCGGAACGTCAGTCGATAAGATATACTCTACGAGCTAACAACTCAATCGGTATGAAAATGTGAGTAGTGTTGTCGAGGTATGGCCAAGTTGAACGACGTCGCGAAAAAGTATTCCGAAGACGACATGATGGAGGCGGAAAGTGAAGAGGAGCTCGGCAAGATAGGGCGCATTATGGTTTGGTTGCGCATCAATCCGAACCTGATTATGTTGAAAGTGACTCTTTTTGTGATGTACGGAGCCACAGCTTCTCTTTTGCCGTACTTGACGATACATATGCAAAGTATAGGACTCACAGTGCCTGAGATTTCTTTTGTGTATTTAGCTTTGCCATTTACTACTTTTTTAAGCCCCCCAATAACAGGTAAGCGGAATTATCTGTAGAGTGTTTGTGTTTGGAGAACTGTGTTTAGTAGAATCTGTTGATTTTAGGATTTCTAGTGGATCGTTTTGGAGAGTACAAGCCTGTTGTGATTACTGCCTTGATTCTTAACGCCGCATTTCATCATTCATTGCTCCTGATCCCGCATCAGGAAACTCCGGGCGTGATGCCGTCGGCATACGTTATGCGACATCCGATCACAAATAGTGTTGAGGTACTCTGTTTATATAAAGATTTATTTCGAAACTGTCCCCTAACGATTTGATCCTCGTTATTTAGTCACGAGATAAACCAGACTCCTCTAAGAATTTAAGCAAATCGTCTTCATCCGGCCTGCATCAGGGCGAATTAACCAGTGTCATAACCTGAGTCCGTATATCTGAATTAGTTAAGGAAATTAAATGACGTTTATTTATATCACATATCAGCTTTGTATCTACTCTTTTGGTATTTTAAGGTTTTGTATAACGAAATTTTGTTTACATACTTAAAATTGCGCAATTTCTTTGACTGTAGTTAGTTTTCTTTGGTTTTCCGTACTTTCACATTATTTAAAATATTGTATTATTTAGCCTATCTGAAATGCTTAATTAATCTTCTTAGTATGTTTAGTTATTTATATATTTTGTAGATATGGTGGAGTCCTTGTCCTAGTAGAGAATGTCCCGACGAGGACGAAACGGTGGATTTTGTACTGGATCGATGTGTGGATCATTGTCATTTGTTCAGACCTACAGAGAGCCCGGCTAGTGATCCAGCAGATGATAAAGACGATCTTGACTTTCATATCAGTCATAAAATACAGCCTCCAAATTTATCCAATAGCAGGTAATTGTTATAATCAGGCTAAATCAGTACACGAATAATATTATATCTGTATAAATCGCATTTTAAGATTTTATTAATAATTGAAACGATTCCTATTTGAAAATTATTTTATTGTTAAGACCAAAATCCAAATTCAGTCATTACTTAAACTCATATTAGTTATGTGTCATTGTATACATAATATGCGAAAAGTCTTACACAAATTAAAAGATAACTATGTCTCTATGGAATAAATATGAAAATACCTAATTAATGAAGCAATCTGTTCGTACTAGATAATAGTTTTTTTTTTTTATTAAAATTTGGCAACTAAGTAAATTTATTTACTATTTTGTTTTAGTCACCAAAACATGACTGAAGATGAAGATTATAATGATGCAGCTTTCTTTTTGATAGAAGTGCATGACGATTTGGGTGAACCAAAAGAACAACTTGGTATAGAAATGGAACGGGTAAGTGTTTTAGTTATTTTTCATTCAAATACAAATAATATTTGAGACAGTCATCTTTTTGATATTTTACAAATACTATGGTATGAGTATAATAATATCGGAATATCCTTCCTTTGATGTACTTTATTTTGCTATTGTTTATCTAATGACTAAGGGGGAAAAATGAGAAGGATTACATTGAAACAATACAAGAAAAACTAATCACAGAAGAAGTACAATATATTAAATATAGCTTTAGTTTATGATTAAAAGAATTACATATTGTTTAATAATTTTAACTGCAAGTTAAAATTTAAAATAACCTTTATGTATTTAGGATGACGATGACCAAGTAACAGATTTTAGATCAAGATTCGGCGAGAAACTTTTAATAGCACAAGGTGTAAATATAACTGCATTAGATAAAGAAGATTTGAGATGCGGTGGTCTTGTTATGGTGCATAATATGACTAAACTCTCCCAGCAGCGTTTGGAAATATTATCAGCTGATTGTATGGTTCAGAAATGTGATTTCAGGTAATATATTAATCTATAAGGATTATCAAAAACAAAAAAAAAATACTTTTCGTTTGTCTGCTTATTGCTTATCTGAAGTTTACATAAACTATGATATCAAAGGTAAATTATCGCTGGAATTTTACAGAAGAGGCGGTCCCGATATATGCCCACCGGATTACAAGGAAAGTGACGATAAGACTTTCTATATTTATTTTTTCTTAAGATTTATGGGAACTATAATGTTGTCTGCTGGCGTTACTATTATGGATCCTATTGCTTTGACTATGATACAAAAGTATGGTGGTGATTTCGGTAGAGAGCGTTTATTTTCTAGTATTGGAATGGCTATATTTTCACCTATTACGGGCATGCTCATAGATATGAGAAGTAAACAAGTTGGTAAGTAGTGGCATCTCGTAATCGTTATCTCCTTTGTCAATAATGTGTTACTGGATGTTTACAACTGCTTGTCGATTGCAGGTTACACCGATTATTCCGCTGCGTTCTATACATACGACGTGTTACTACTAGTATCAGCAATTACGGTTGCTGTAATGCCTCTTGGCGCCAAATTACCAGCGGATAATTTACTACGAGATTTAGTGAATATAATAAAAATGCCACATATAATTATTTTTATATTTTTCCTATTCGCATTGGGAAACTTTTGGGGATTCATTGAATCTTACCTCTTCATATATTTGAAGGAGTTAGGAGCACCAAATTTTTTATTAGGTAAGAAGTTAATTATGATGGTTTTCTGTTGCTTTAAATAAATTTGTAAGTTGATTTATGTAACAAATACATTTATGACAATAATATATCTAGGACACACTAAATATTATAAAAATTTTCCTAAAGAATTAACTATTTTAGATAAAGCACGATTAGGTATAGATTAAATAGTTACAAAAAATGAGGCCAAGTTCAAAATATCTATGAACAAAACATTTTTATGAGCGTAATCTAAAATATTAGATTCGAGACAAAGCATTTATTTTCCACATTATCAAGATTTGAATTTATTCATATAAAGCAAGCAGCACGTCTAAACATTTTTTTATGATACACAGAATGACAAACAAGCTGACTACCTATGTATTATTGGATATCTTTTAGTTAGCTATACGAGAAAAACTTTATAATCCGTTAATAATTAGCCTGACAATGAGATAGATTTTGATGTTAAATACCAGTAACAAATTTAAATTCGATTAATTTATTGAATGTTTCGAGCTGTTACTAATTTCAATTAGAAAGTCTTTCTGAGATAATTTTAACAAATATTTCAAATACACTATAGGGACTTAACGCGTTAATAAAATATACAAACCTGCTTCTTTATTGTAGACGTTTTGACGTGGATTCCTCGACGTCATGGTCACGGCAAGATTGAAATTATTCAATAAAATTATTTTTTAAGCAACTTCAAAATCGTTATCTACGATTTCCGTCATTTATAAATCAATTTGGAAAAAAAATATTTTTAAGAGTATACTTTCAGATTGGGTTCATATAAATTTTATCAAATTCTGTTCAGTAATTTGATTTTAAATCAAAATAACTGATTATGTTCCGATTAAAATCAATGTTTAATTGTACGAAACAGAATCTACTTATCATTAAATGCAAGTAGATTCTGTTTGCAAGATTACAAGTAAATAGATAATATATGGAAATTGTCTGTATAATATTTATCTAACACGTATATAGTAACATCGTTGAAAATGTTTTTCTCAGTAAAATATATACAGTATAGTATATCTTGTGTTCAGGTATAACCGTGACAGTGGGCACACTGAGCAGCATCCCGTTCCTGTACGGCGCTGATGCCATCACCGCCCGCATCGGCCACGTCAACGTTATCATTGTCGCGTTCTTCTCCCACGCCGCTCGCCTCGTCGGATACTCATTTATTGAGTGAGTTTTCTTTCATTGCTTTTATTTTTGTAAAAACCTTAAAATCAGTTATTAAGTGAATGCACGAATTACTATTTGTACTTTACCTGTGAGGTATTTTGAGCTCCCAAATGCGTGATTGCAATTTATAATATGCTTTTAAATAAAACTTTGGAAAAAGAACCTTATTAATTCTTTAGAGAAATTAACATTAAGAAACATTCTAAGTATATGATTTCTTAATTTATTTTATTTGCAACATTTACTGATTATTATATGCATAGGAATTAAAGAGAAAATATTATTTTCTATTATCTGAATCGATAATTTTTTTTACGAGATACATTATTTTAAATATCCATTTAAAATACTTGTTGATTTGGAAGGATTGTGTAAAATTTTGTTTAGAATAAATTACAGTACTGTTGGGTAACAATAATTTTATGTAAATGGAAACAAAGAAAGATAAGAATAATGAGTGTTGAATGTGAGTGCAAGCTGCATTATCTGTTGATTGATTACAGATATGAAGATAACAAAATGTTCTTACGTATCTGTGTATTATAATAATTTGAGATTATATTCCAAAATAAAAAGAAACAATTTTAATCATGATAAAATTAATATGGGGACGTAAATCAAAATTAGTTTTAAATTGGCGCTGATATCGCGTCACATAAAAAGAAAACAAAAAAAAAATAAATACTGTCGAATTAAGTAGGTACTTTTTATAAAGTAACTTAAAACAAGAATATATACAATCGAATTGAGAAACCGCCTCCTTTTTTTGAAGTCGGTTAAAAATTTTACAAATCTGAATGTCTGATCATAGAGGGATCGAATTCTATTTTCATACAATCCATTGATATTTCACGCTGAATTTGTAATGTCCGTGCACACTCGTAAAACTTTACCAATTGGGTATCGAGTTGTACATAGTACACTTATAAAATGAATAATAAAGATTCACGGTTCGATTAAAGTGGAAATTTTAACATTATACCTAAATTGATATTAATACACAGACTATCTTAGAATACTACTACTAACTTTTTTTTTGATAGGTGAAAATGGTATGGTAGCCACGCCCCGCCTGCGTTAACGAGATACGCTGGCGGAGCTCCAGTGAAGGGTGATAGATGAGAATGAAAACAGGCTAGTTAGCCCATCATGATGAATTCATCAGAATTAACCATGATAGTTTCCAGGGAGAACCGCGAGGAGGTCGACCCTGGTTAGGTATATTGCTAGCAATGGGATTCTCACTCTCTATTACTAACAATCCTTTTCCCCCCACTACTACTAACTTAGAATTTTGAATGCAAAAAAGTAACCTTCACCTGAGAAAAGTTTTTGTATTTTTTCATTAGAACGGCACACAGTTTCCGCGTGAGTGAAACTGTAGCTCTTTATACTTGTAACAGGTATAACAAACGCGTATATCTTTGTGTGTGCCCGTTGATATGTCCTTTACAATTTAAATATCATTTGCGGCGGTAATGTATTTACGACGATAAAGCATTGTCAAGTTTATGAGCACAACGACGCGTGGGCGGCATCTTAGTTACTCTCGAGGATACTACGTTAATATAAATAACAAGGTACACATTCCGTTCAGGTGAATGCAGATGATAATGTTCGTGTATTTCTCTTTACCCGACTGCTAATAAAAGGAGGGTAATGCTGTATTATTTTTAAAACTTATATTCATATTTATCCGACGTCTATATACATATATAATGGGAAATTAACGAACTCGTTTCATTAATTTCTCGAACTGTTTTCATTAATTTCCCGTTACATATGTATATAGACGAGGGTAATGCTTTTTGGCAATATCTATATATGTAATATCTATATATTTCAGTAAGTCGGGTTACAGTGCGGATCTCACTGATATTTAACGAATATTTAATAAATAAGGCGTGATTAAAATAACTATGGGAGTGTTTTATGGGTATAATATAATAATAATATGATATTACGGTCCTATAAAAAAAATAGTTCAGTCTTCATTTGTAAAAAATAAAACGTATATAAATATTAAATTGTGTTATTACATACGTATTTGAAATGGCATTAACTAAAGATCCTTGGGTAACAACAAATCTGCTTCGAACATATAAGTACAGCTACACTGAGTGCGCTTAACAAGATAGTCTTTCTTTTGATGCCTGAAGCATCTTTGACTTCCACTATATCGTTAGCAAAAGCATTACAGATACAATAAACCATTGCATCAGTATTCGTTAGTATACTTATCATGTCTTAGCATTATGATTAAAACTCATAAGAATTCTGTACTGAAACATAATATGTAATCTAAAGATTGTTATGTATTTACGTTTGGTCTGCCGTATGATCCCGACGTAGAATGGGCCTCCTTTCCCATTCCCGTAGGTATCGTAAGAGCTGACTAAGGGATCTTAATAGCCGAGGGTGGACAGCAATGTCCTTCTTAAAACATCAGCGAAGCCTAACAGCGGATTGCTACTCGCCTGCTAAACGAGGCAACTACTAGCCAAGTCCCCTTTATACGGGGAGACTTATGTTCAGCATTGGACAGTTAACGTCTGATGGGATTGGGAATCTTCACGTTTATTTTTTAATGTGCGGATAATTCGTCGTTAATATTAAATATGCGACACAGGATGATAAGTAAAACGGACATTGAATACGTACAGTTTTTATTGATACATTGTCTTGTATAAAGTGATTATTTCTTATAATTATTTATATTTATAATAAGTTTACTATTGTAATTTTTTGGAGGAAACAATATAAAAAATAAAAAAGTATCTATCTATCTATCTATAATGGTATAAAGGTAAAATAAAATTTAATTTAAAAAAATAAAATTTCAGTATAGAAATCAAAGACAATAGTTGAAATAGGTTTACAAAATAAACCTATTGGTACAGATCCATAAACAAAAATCCTTCAAATGTAGCGTGAAAAACTACTTAGTGAGTTAACATAGTACGGTCAATCTTTGAGAGTAAATCATTCTCTTTTCCTTTGATGGTGTTCATGAACCATATTGTCTCTGTATACGTTCACCATGATGTAGTAAAAAAAACTTATAAATATTATATGTTGAAATACATACGTCGCTAAACGAATTCGAAATGTTTTTTTTAATGAATGATAATGGGGAGGTAAACCGTGTGTTAGCGGTAAACGCTGGCCGGACACCAGTGATGAATGATAGATGAAAATGAAAAGACAGGCCAGTTAGCCCCATCGTGAAGAATACACCTAGAATTCAGCAAAATAATCCACGTGAAGGTCGAAGGTATATCGTATATATCGGGTATATTATTAGCAATGGGGCTGGTAGTTTGCATTACTAAATTTGTACTAAAGTCGCCTGCTTGAGTAACTCTGTCTCATTCGTGTTTTTGCCGTAAAACTGTTGTGTTTACATGACTGTGTTTCAGTTTGAAGGGTACGACGACAATGAAATTATAGGAAAGAAATTAGAGGCATACCACCTTAGTCCTCAGGAATGGCTACATAGTATACTCTGTTATATCGATGGTACTGTTGATGTCTATAGGTGATGGTTACCACTTTCAATCAGGTGGGCCGACAATATGTTTGTCATTCTAAGTTGCATAAAAAATACTATTTTATTGGATTTCGGCTTTGTATAATTATTACTTACTATTAATCTTATAAACTAATGTAATGAGACCGCAATTTAAAGTGCAAATTTTTACATAAGTAGGTATTTAAATTTCTCATCTCCCGCGATATCAATAAAGACATAAGTCAATACGTAAAATCCTACGACAACTGAGAACTAAATCCTAATATCTGTACTCGGCTTCTTTGTTTTACAGAGTTTTCAACCGACTTCGGGAAAAAGGAGGTTTTTAAATCGGTTATAATATTTTTTTTTTATGGTTGTTACCTCATAACTCCAGTCGTAAACCGATTTGGAAAATATAATTTTTTTTATCTGAAAGGATATGTTTATGGATTGGTTTCATAGAAATTTTATTAAAGTCGGTTCAGTAGTTTAGTTTTAACTGATTTAAATTAATTAAATTACACTACATTTATTTACTATTTCTAAACTATATATATAGATATTTATAATTTTATTTTACTTTTTTTTTTATTAATTACCTTCATGTCAGAGTAGGTCACTAGAGTTATAAATACCATTCCATATATTCTCAGCTTCATCGTTTTCATAACTTGCTGTATATACATATGATAGTTATAATATTGCAGGCATTTATCGGCTGGTATAAAAAAATAACCTTATTGTGTCTTCAGAGAATAATATTAAGGTATATTTTAGGATTATTTATTTATATACATATTTTTGGCGAGTATTTTTGGCGTTCACTAAAAATTAAAAATTCAAACATTATATTTTTTATTATTGCGTTTGATGCTTATAAGCACAGGAATTAAAGGAGAAAAAAAGAAATTTCCATGACGTGAACTCCAGAGAGTCTGGATTCTTTCCACAGACATCATAGAATTTATCTCATTATGACAAGGTCCAGGGTAGAATCTATTTTTCTATAGTATTAAATTTTACTTGTAGTTCTTAAAATTACAAGTAAAATTTAATACTTTAATTAAGGTACACGTTAAAATAATAATATAATTATTGTATACATTTAACTTGATGCATATAGTAATCATTTATAACTTTACCTTTAAGAATATTTTTTAAAATTTGTGTGTCAATTTACTTTTAATACTTCTTATTACAATAATTGAATAATTTATGAATAATTCTCCGGTAATGAAAACATCAATAACATATTGAATTGATCAGAGTGACGGCGATAAGCTAGGTTCCTATTCTATTCTATTAATCTATCTATTAATATTCGTAAACTCGAAATTTGAAAATGGCGAGTGGTACAACTACATGTATTACAATGACAACAGTAATAGTCTTTGACTATTTCATTAGGAATTGTAGTCGTGAGCGAAATATATATATATTTATTTATTTTATTTTATTTTATTACAGAAATTCTTGGTGGTGTTTCCCGTTCGAAGCTATGGAGTCTCTGTCGGTACATTTGATGTGGGTGGCTGCTGCAACCTATTGCGCTATGTTAGCTCCGAAAAGCCTTCTGGCCACACTCATAGGTGTATTGGGAATGGCACATTTTAGTCTTGGTTAGTATATCTTTACTACAGGTATATCGTACCAGAGGGAGACTTTGTACAAAAGTCGATTGCTTGGGTACCTCTGTCCCATTCGTGTTTCAACCGTGAAACAGTTGTGTTTGCATGGCTATGTTTCAAATTGAAAGGAATAACACCTGAGTTCTCAGGAATGGCAACGCATGGGGGGTATCATGGGTGAAACAGTACACTCTGTTATGCCCATGGTACTGCTCATGTATATAGGCGACGGTTACCACTTTCCATTAGGTGGGTCGTCAGCTTGTTTGCCATTCTAAGTTATATAAAAAAGATAATATAATACCATACTAGTAACTTTACTGATATTAGTACTTACCTGCTTACAAAACAATATTGCCTAATATTGGTGCCTGTACCTAGTATAGGCACCAGCTCTCACAAATAATATTGTTAATATGTTCGACAAGTTATAGGTAGTAAGTCCTTAATTTGTTTGTGGTAAGAAATGAATAAATTATAGTCGTAAATGTAAAAGTGTGTTGGTATGATAGTTTTTTTTTTGATGGGTGAAAATGGTATGGTAACCCCGCCTGTGCTAACGGGATACGCTGGCGGAGCACCAGTGAAGGGTGATAGATGAGAATGAAAACAGGCCAGTTAGCCCATCGTGATGAATTTATCAGGAATTAACCATGATAGTTTCCAGGGGGAACCGCGAGGAGGTCGACCTGGTTGGGTATATTGCTAGCAATGGGATTCTCAGTCTCCATTACTAACAATCCCTTTCCCGCCTGGTATGGTTGTTACCTCTTAGTCCTTTAATCGACTACTATAAAAAAAATTGGTATACTCGTACATATTATGTGAGATGGCGAAAGACATAGGTTATGGGACCAATTTATAAGTATATTTAACAAAAAAAAAAAATACAACCATATTGTGAACTTCCTTATTTCTGAAAAGTTTTCATTCAGTAGGATTAGTAATATCACAGATAGTAATATTTAGAAAAAAATGTGTAATTGCATTTGGATGAGTAAGGAATTAAAATTGAATTAGAAAAAACAAAATGAGTTGGATGACACATTATAGAATGAATGCGGAACTGACATGTATTTGAAATTTTTTACAAATGTAATTATTTCTCTGAAACGTCTTTATTACGTTATACTCATATATTACTATGTAGGTAGCTCATATGAAGCTGGCTTGTTATCTTTTATCTTATTTACATATATGTAAGTGGTATTATTACTTTATATACAATACAGAGATAGTTATAATGAATTTGAAAAATTTTAATAGCTAAAGCAGAGGTAAAGTTTGAATGAATGAATGAACGATAACTTTATTTGGTTGAATACAGGTTATTACATTAGAAGTATTTAATTTTAAAAGAAGAGACTGTATTCGACTGTGTGGTGTGTGCGTGTGTGTGTGTGGTGTAAAGTTACGGACATATCTAACTAGTTTATTATAAAATTAATTATAATTAATTAAAATTATTATTTTTGGTTATAAAGATATTTGATTGATTACATGTGTGTGGTTTGTATGTATTCAATCAATATGAAACGGCAGAATGGATATGAATAAAATTTGGTACACGGGTAGGTACATATCTTAATTAACAATGCAGTATACTTTTAATATGGTGATTCACAAAGGCAAAGCCGCGGGAAACAACTAGTATACTATATATAAAAAGATATCACTTGAACAACATTTATAAAAATACATTGTAATGAATTTTCTATTCTAAAAATACTCGATTGTAAGGCAATAAGATAAATGATAATGAACTTTAATCTATATAAAAACATACAATATTACAATTAAATTTTAAAATGTGTTTAGCTAATAACTACTGTTTGCAAACGAATATACAGTTGAAGATAACATTTACGTCATATCAAAATAAATGAACGTGGTGTAAAAATGAAAATAAAAAAAATATTATTAATATTAACACACTAGTTGTTTCGTTATCACATAAAAACTATTGCAACGAATTGTACGCGCTTTTCAGTGACCAACTTAAGATCTGTCGTGTGTTTTATCTCGATACCTACGCCATCTAGAGGACTACTCGTAATTAATTGGTTTTTCTATTTCTACGCTACAAAGTTATGGGTCAGATATAGTTTATAATATTAGTAATGGAAATAGTAAATTATTATTATATATCGGCATAGATTGGGTCACCCCTTCTTTTTCCGGGAGTGTCATAAAAGGCGACTAAAGAAATTTAAAGGTCAAGGCATAGCAGCAGTGTTTCTTTTAAAACATCGCCATGGCCTAGGTGTGGTTGTCAACCCAACTGCCAAGAATGGCTTCTACTGGAAAAACCCTTCTTATGGGAGAGGTTTATGTTCAGCAGTGGCCAATTAATGGCTGATATTATGATGATGATATTAACACATGAAGGGTATCATGAGCATTCATGGTGCTGTTGTCTATAGGCGATGTTTACAATTTTCCATTATATGGGCTGTCAGTTTGTTGCATAAATTAAAAATATTTGTACATTTTCCTCTACAGGAAGGGGTAGCGGCAGTTTTGGTGGAGGTCTCCTGATAGCCTCTTTAGGCACAAGGGAAGCGTTCCGGTACATGGGACTCATTGCATTCCTCGGAGGGATTCTATACGGCCTATTGCATTATTTCTGGCTTAGGAATATAAACATGAAAGGAATTGAAGAGTCCAGTGATCCGGACACAGGTATGTCATTGTACTATTATTAGTACTCGTGTGAAAATGGCACCCTCTAGTGACCTCTGACAAGGCTTACTGGACGACGTTATCGCGCTTCAGTTTTATTCTCGTCGCAGTGTGTGCAGGACTAAAATTAATGTTAGTATACCTTAATGTATAATGTTATATATCATAATTATATTAATTATGCAAAAACAACAGAACGTTTCGAAATAAAATTTTGTACACAGATATGATTATATCTTAGATTAATTAAAAGAAAATTATCCTGCTGCATAATTATTTTTTTTATTATTTTACTAAGCACTTTATTGGATTATTAAGATTTTTTTTTTTATAATTAATAAATTATTGAAAATAGTACAAGGTGTAACTTTTCTCAGGCGAAGTACTTATCAACGAACAATATTGGCGTTTATTTCTTAAAAAAAGTTATTAGGTTAGCTATATTAATCGAAAATTAATTTAATTTATTATTTAAAATTTTCATTCACCATTATAATACTTATACTTAATGTATAAGTATTATAATGGTTAAATATAAATAATTTATATTGACTTCAGAAAGCGGCGAAGGCGACAAATTGAATGGGGAGCCATTGCGCAAGGACGCTGAGACGATGATCTCCTTGGAGAGGTTGCATATGATTACACGGTATAATCCGCTGGGATCTCTCCACTCTTTGCCCAGAGGTTCACGCTCAAGAGTAAGTGTATTTAAATCTACTCCAAGAACTTATAAATAAATATATCTAGACTATTTTTATTGACACTGAGTCTCTTTCGAAATGATTAAAAAATCAAAATCAATATTTTAAAGAACGCATCTTAAAGATGCGTTCTTTAAATTATTGTAGTTGGTGATTCATTATTTATTTCTTACATCGATATAGGGGAATAAATATTTAAACAGTCAATATAAAGATTGTACTCCACAAAAAAAAAACCGATTTCAATTGTGAGAAAACCAGTTATTTTGATTTAAAAAATTAAACTACTAAATCGTTTTTGATAACATTTTTATGGGACGTATCTGTAATTCTTTCAGATAAAAAGCTATTTTTTCTGATAGGGAGAGAACTGACGAAGTTATGAGAAAACAAACATAAAAAATACAACCAAATTAAGAACTTTTTTCTTTTTAAGTCGGCTAAAAGAAATCACGCGTCAGCCAATAGTTGATAATTTTGTAATTAAAACTTAGCTGCTGCCTAACAGGTGGCAAACAAATCCATCAATGGAATCGTTGTCGCTAGCGAGTCCAAGTATTGAAATGTTATGTTATGTTATATGATAACTGTTATGTCCATGGTACTGCTCATGTCTATAGGCGACGGTTACCACTTTCCATCAGGTGGATCGTCAGCTTATTTCCCATTCTAAGTTGTATAAAAAACAATGAGACATCAGACGTTGCTATCTCATTCTACTTCATGGACTGTTGATGGATTCGCTTGCCACTTATTCAGACGGCCTGCGCCTTTAGTGGGTGATTTTAGAAGCTGAGTAACGTTATTCATTTCACAAATTAGATATACTAGAGAAAGATTTTGTACAAAAATTCATCTGCTTTGTGCTTCTGCTGCCAAGTAGTTGTCGTAACTGTATTTCGGTTTGGATACGGCAGTGAGATAATAGCATACGGAGTCATGATATTGACAGGACTGACAAGTAAATTTTGCTATCCATGTTTATAGGCGATGGTTACCATGTTGCGTGAGTTGGACCGTAGGTTTATTTGACATTGCACATTGCCTACAATAAAAAGGATTCATTTTACCTTACAGTTCTCCCAAGGCGATATAAATGAACATTGTAGAAGTCGGAGCGGCAGTAACAGTCAGCGACGAGGGAGTAACTACGAAGGTTCCGCCTCTAAAGTCGATCTCCTACGTTCAGCGTTGGAGATCAGCCATCAGAATGCCAAGAGTCACATTTCAAATCCTGTACTATCGAGTTCTCACAGGCCTGTGCATTATAAGGTATACATATACGAAATAGGCATAGGTAATATGGATACTGATACGATATCTATATATTGGGTTTTTCTGGACATTATTGGCGAGAAAAGGTCGTCACCTATTTCGATATTGCCCATGTTGGTCGGATATCTATTATAGAATATGTTAAAAATCTATTATCCAATATTACTTTTTGGATATCAGACTTTTAACATATTTGTTATTAGACAAGTATAAAGATACTGCTCCAAAAATATATAGCTATTGCTATGTATTACTCACGCCTACTACGTAATACAGTTTATTAGTATATACTTACTCATATTTGACAATCATTTCAGAGTACCTGCGGTCCTTTTTCTGTGATTTGTATAAGAAACGGCTAAAATCAATATTTGACTTTATGACATTAGATTTGACCTTTATAGTAAATATTTAATAATTATTAAATCTTTTGTATCTTATTTAATATAGTGAATTGCAATAGTGAAGAAGACTGTAATATTGAAATAAGGATGGGACAAGTTTTCTGGAATAGGGATTAATTCTTAAGCATAAATTAAACCCTATTTTGTTCCATTGTTCCGGTGTAAAAAAAATCATAAATTCCTTTGCTTGTAATGATGTCTTGTACTCTGGGGTAGTATTCATACAAATTTTGTTGTCTAATCATTAATGTTCTACTGTATACAAACTAGAAGATATGGCAGGCTTTAATATTGTGTTTATTAAGTGAACGTTTTAATTCTTCTAAATCCTTTGTCGTTATATTAAAAAAAAAGAATTTTAATACTATGAGCTGTGGTAAACTGTATAAATATAGGTAACACGTGACCTTATAACTTAATTAAACATTTATCAATGCGAGAAATACCACTGTTATAAATATTAATAAACAACAAATAGACACTAATGCTATAAATATCATAGGACCTTGTTTAAATTCCGTTGTTTGCGTACATTATCACACTACCGTGAGATGTGACGTGTTGTTGCATATTTACAACACCAATTCTGTACAAATAGAAAACATTTGATACATTTACTTGCTCACCAGAGGGAGACTTTGTATAAAAGTCAATTGCTTGGGTACCTCTGTCCCATTCGTGTTTCAACCGTGCAGCAGTTGTGTTTGCATGGCTGTGTTTCAGTTTGAAGGATGGGATATGGCGTGAATTTACTGGGTACAGAGGAATAACACCTGAGTCCTCAGGAATGGCAACGCACGGGGGGTATCATGGGCGAAACAGTATACTCTGTTATGTCCATGGTACTGCTCATGTCTATAGGCGACGGTTACCACTTTCCATCAGGTGGGCCGTCAGCTTGTTTGCCATTCTAAGTTGTATAAAAAAAAAATTACAAAAATTACATTATGTATATACATAAACAAGCCTAAAATGTCTTTTGGATGTTCTTATGAGTATTTCAAGAATAATACTTCTATACCGGGAACTACAAGGCGGATTTTGTATTAATATTTTGTAGTTATTTTATTTTATTAAAATGAAATTTACTATTCTTGTAGCAAGCTCAGAGCGCACCAAAATTGGTGCTGATGGGTTTGGCACAACGAAATAATATATCTCAACCAGTGCTATCAGAGTACGATACTCGTCGACGTGATTCCATACCGGAGGAAGCCGAGGAAGATCGCTTAGTACCACCAACTAAATTGCCAGCTAAGACCAAGAGTGACAACCTACCCCCACCTCCTACATACGACGAGGCAACTGGTGAACACAGGAAAAGTTGGCATTCCGACGACAGTGCACCCACTTAGGCGAAAAAAAATATATATAATATATGAGAATTGTAAATAGTCAATGTAGAATTGATTGGCTGAAACGAGACAAATGCTTTTAAGAAAAAAAAAAAAATCAACACGTTCCGCGTGTTATCAGTTTAAGCGGAAAGCATATTTTGTATAAGGCTTTAATTTATTTAAGTTGTAGATAAATGTATTTTGTTTTAATGTTGTTATCCAATTTGAAATTGTTCTCTCGTATGTCTGTTGTTTTTATTAGTTATAATTTTCATATTAAATTAATGAACCCAGTCTTATATGACATCGATATATTTTTAAAATCTTAATTATTTATTATATAACATATTATAAAAAGTATATTCTATTGTAAATAATATTTAAAATTATCGCGTCCATTTTCATAAGCGTTTGATCGAAAATATAAAGGGATCAAAGTAAATATGGTCATGAAAATGGGCACTTTTCCTTATTATTAATAAATGCATAAAATATTATTACTCTTTAAAAGATTTCCTTGAGTGAGATGAGTTTTGAAGTAAACATGATATGGTTTTAAAATACAGTAGTTTTGAATTCTTACAGCCACAAACAATTTGCAGCTGAAATATTAAATATAAACAAATTGAAAATCTGCTCCTATTGAAAGTCGTAATAAAAACAGATATATACTTTGCTAGACTATAGAATGAACGCTCTTAATTCCTTTTATGATTTTAAACACTTTTATTTCCAACTGACTTCATAAAAAGGTGGAGGTTTTCAATTCGATTCCATTTATTGTGTTTGTTACCTCAGAATTCCGTCATTAACAAACAGATTTCGAAAATTCTTTTTTATTTCAAAGGTTTTTATACTTTCAGATTGGCCCCATAGAAATTTCATCAAAATCAGTTCGGTAATTAAATTTTTTATTTATTGAATTTATACTTTCCATGTTTTATGAATCATTGTCCTCTATGCAATTAGATTGGTCAGTCCTAAGGAAGTAGGAACGGTTAATGTTATTCTTATCCAATGACTTGTAGACTTTCTCCATTACTGAAAGTGAAGGATTTCTCTCTCTAGTCAGTATCCATGCGTTACCTAAAAAAAAAAACAATATTTAAGCCATAGATATACTACGCCAGTTACTTTATCTATGTTTTAAATGTTATTACCAACACCGGGAACAATTACAATTACAAGATACAGAAGCATAATACTATGCTCCTCAAAAATGGCACTGAATGCTAAGTACCGTAGGTATTAAAGAGTATTGTGGGACATCCACAGTGTTGTTCATGACCATAGGTGACAGTTACTCCTTACCATCAGCTGAATAAGTTTACGACTTGTTGAATGAATGAATGAATTTTATTTACTAAATATTGGTGATCGTCAGTAGGAGATCATAAAATTAATTACAATGGTTCAGCAATATTTACCATTACATAGATGTGCAAATCTTGTTTGCCATTTTAAACTTTGTGAAATAAATAAACAATACATTCAGTCTAGATAGCTATGAGATGCGGGTTTGAATTGTATATTTATTTTTATTGCTTTTGTAAAAATATATACAGCGACTATAGAATCTGTTAGTAAGAGTGAGTTTGTCTCTGAAAGAGATCTCTTTTATCTAACCTAATGAAGGTAAATGGAAAATGTTTAGCGAGTAATCTGATGTATAAAACTTGTATATGGGATAAAAAAAAAAACCCCTTTAAACTGCTAATTTGAAACAAAATCGCAATAAAACAATAAATACAAAAGTTGTAAACATTGAATGGATGGTTGTACGTATATCTAGTATAATATAATAGGCAAAATGGAAAAACTAGTAATGATGGCAGACAAAGAAAATAACACTAATTTAATAAATAGGGCTGTGGATTTCAGCAAAATACTCACGTGTATGGAAGAGCCCGAAGTCGTTGCAACTCCAAATAATAGAATAATTATCATAGTCAGTATCTACGACCCAATATGGTGCTGCAACGTTTACTGGCAGAGACGGGAATCGAACGGATAGCTTGCCCTCGTCGGACCGGCTTATTTGAGTCGCTTCACCATCAATCTCTGATTGTATGCCCGTACTGGAATTAGAAAATAAAATAAAGTTATAAAATTTTGCTAGAGGAAAAAAATATATAGAAAAAGGATTATATTAATTCATAGGGGTTTTTTTAAAGAGATTCAACCAGATGAGAGTTTCCGTGGAGCACAGTCGAAAGCTTAAAATATCACTAACACGCATTTAGGTGAATGTAGTATGAGAGTTTAAAAGAAATTATACTACATGGTCGTGTGATCTTGGCAATAGAAATAGCTACTCCTTCCTTTCTCGAGGGTATTGTAATAGGCATTTAACAAAATTTTATGGTTGAGGAATAACATCCTTCTTAAAACATCACCAAACCCTAACTGCTGTTGCCAACCCACGTGCTAAGAATAGCAATTACTGGCAAAACCCTTTAAGAGAGAGGTCTATGTTTAGTAGTGAACATTTGATGGCAGATATCATTATTATTATTATTCAGACTATAATTCTTGGGTAAAGTTATTCAGTTCAATGTTCTATGACATGGTTTCGGCTTGGTAGGCGTACCCATTACGATAAACGTTATATTACAGTTATTTTATTCACGATAATGTAGTAAATAAATTAATGATAGGAATAATTGATTCAAATAATGAGTCTATTACATACAAACTGCTTAGCTGCTTGTTGGTTACTGTCATAACTCCATCATCTTTAGTGTCGTAATTTGCTGTCACACATTTGCCTCCGAACTCGAATAAGAAGAAATACTTCTCTGCCTCGTACCACTTGCCAGTATACTGTAAATAGTGAGAAGAGAAAGGAATTCTATAAATTTATACTTATATTACAATGGGAGATTATTATAAAAAGATATATTTTTTATTATAATTACATATTTGCCGCCAGTAGACTATTTGAATTTCCCCACCCCTATCGCCCTCTACAATTAGATACTATAAGTTGTCAATAATATAACTCACAGTTTTTTTGCCAGTGAAACTTTGTGTTTATAAAAAAAAAATGTTTTAGCCTAAAATGTTTCGCTCTCGGCTTCAAACTAATAAGCCTATTGGTAAATTCTTTCATATGTACTGGCATTTTTATTGACAGAGTTTCGGAGAAACTTCTTTTAATTGTCAAAACGAGGATTATTCTTAAATGTACAGAGCTTGGGTCTAGTCACATTATTTATTTATTTTTATTTATTTATTCATTAGTACAAATATGTGTACATGGCGGATTTAATGCTAAAAGCATTCTCTCCCAGTCAACCATAGGGAAGTGTCAGAATACTCGAATGCGGTACTACTAATTATTGATATACATACATACTAAAATTACATATATAAACGAATAAACATATATCAATAACAAATATATTTACACATATATGATATATACTATATTATACACGAATTTGGGAATAATATAAAGCACTTATTGCTCGGATAAAGACAAAAAGTGAGCGTGAACGCTTTTTTTGAAAGACGGTTTAGACGGTAGTCTTTTAATGGCATCAGGAAGCGCGTTCTAGAGTCGTGAAGAATGTAGGAGAAAAGAGTTTGAAGCGTAACCAGTACGGTGAGAGGGGAAAGATAATTGGAGAGTATTATTTTATTTAATTACATTTTATTGCACCAATGAAAAATAATAAATACAGTAAATTATTATATTATAAAAAAAAACAGTCAAGTGTAAATAGGATTCACACGCTAAGGTTTTTGTGTAGAAAATAATATGGAGATGAGTTTTTTATTTATTTTATTTCACAGTCGTGTAATTTAAAAAGATCGTGTTTTCATTGTAAATATTTAGCATATTTTTCTTTGTTTATTGAACTATAAATGAAATATTTACCCGACTTGGATCAAAGTCCGTCATAGCACTGACATCTGGACAGTTTCCTGGGAAAGCTAACTGCGATCTGCATAGTCTTAGTCCGCAAAGAAACACCGCTATGGCCCGCAGCACTGACATCTGGAAATATAAATTGTTTTTTTTAGAACGCGTCCAATTATTCTATCTAGCCATTTCAATTCTGTTACTTTCATCTCTGAAAACCTAATGGTTATGTGTTTGTGCTTGATTTTTAATTATATTTTTACAAAAAAAATATTAGTACTTATAATTCTCTCTTTGTAAGTTAAATGATATGCAAAACTAAACATCTAAACATACAAATCTTTACAAATTTTCACATTTATTTTAGGTATGAAAAATATATAAATGTTTGTATGTAATCATTAAAGCTTGAGCTGAACTTTTAAGAGCATAAAGTGTGGATTCAAATATTTCTGCTTTGAAATTAAATAACAATTCGCAATTACTATAGTAATATATGTACTAAAGTATAGTAATTTTAATTTGAAATTTGCAATTAGGTAATTGACAAGTATTTAATGATAAAATAAAAATTTTTAGCTGTCGAACTTCTTACGGGTTCTTCTCGAAAAGTAGTACTTGCAACATTCGAGACCAACAAAAAATTAATAATTTCAAAATCATTATATCGTTATTATTTAATTAAGTACTATATGTATTCTAATCCGTGTGCCTATATCTACCCATATATTACTATATGCTTTTATACATGGGTACATAGCTATACTAGCTAGTTAGAATATTAGATGTCGAGTGCATCGACTTCACGTAGTGAAGAGGCAATAACTGTCCGAGTCGAGGTGAACATACCGTTAATGAGCATAACCAGTAAACACAAGAGAGGAAAACTGCACACTAAAGAAAACTGGGACGATTGTCCTTACTAGGTGCAGCTTTACGGTATCTCGTAACGGGATCCCGACCTATTGATGCTGATTTGTTAAGCTCCAAGCGAAAGGGGGTAACCTATTGGTTTTGTTTTATATTTATACAACTAAGAATAACAAAGTTTGCAGTTTACCTACCTGCTGCGAAGTGGAAAGTGTTATATGGGCATGAACAGTATTATGGATATCAATAATAAAACAGTGTCATTTATGAGTATGCATGTTCATGGTATTGTGTGTACATTTGTTATAATTCCTGATGATTAAGTGTTTAAGGTATAAGGATACACCCAAGTAACGTGTCCATTCACTGAAATATGACTTTACAACCTTTGCAATCGAAATACAGTCATGCACATATGTATTTAAAAGATTTGCGGTCGGTTTTTTAGTTATTATTATGGTCTAAATATATAATTCTTAATTGAAATAACAATATAAAAGAAAGAGTTTATTTTATATTATATATTATTATTAAAGTATATATGCTTAATTTTCCAAATGATTTTTAGTGCTATATTAAGCCAATAGATGGGGTTGTTAATTACGACATGAGGTTTTTACAGAGAAATGTAAATTTCCTAAGCATAATGCTTACAAATGATATGTATGGGAATGTAAATTAAAATTAAATTAAATTTATTAATTAACTTAAAATGTACAAGATGTTATTTAAGTGAATAACATACAAGTAACAAGATAAATCACAATAATTATAAGCTAACTTATGTTTATTATATAAATCTTTGTGAAAGTTTATACGTATGTTTGAATGTTTATTACACGATGACTGAATAGATATAAATTAAGTTTTGTGCGCAGATAGATCATTTCCTAATTGAATGAATTTTTTTTAACAGTAATTCAAAATTGCAATTATGATTGAAATATTTTAGTAAAATTAAAATATACCATATTTGTTATATATTAATGTACAAATTAAGTAAATTTAAAAAAGTATCACAATTGATAAAACGTCTTCTAACTAAATTTATCACATAAGAATCGTATTAAATATGTTACGCTAAAATAAAAAAGAATAAGTATATAAAATGTTACATAAAAACAAAATTACAATCTATTAAAATTGGTCGCTCTATGAATAACCATAAATAAATATTATAACTCACCTTGAAGTTTGTATATTCAGGAAGTATGTAATATTTATAAGTTAATTTAACACTTCGTATTATGAGATCGCGCACCGTGGCGTCACTCTGACCGGTCTAACGTCTACTGTGGAACTAAACAGATTTTCAAACGTATCCTTCTATAAAACTTGGTTTCTGAGCTTTCTATATACATATATACGTACAAATTTATAAAGAAAAAGCATATTCCTTCAGAAAAGGCCGGCTGTACACCTGCAATATACACCATAGGTGTTGCGGGTGATCATAGGCGGCAGTGGTCGCTTATCATCTGGTGCACTACATGCTTGTTCGCCCCCTGTCTTATAAAAAAAAAAAAAGGAAAAACACGAATATTACAAAGAACTTTTGGTAAAGGTGGTCCTTTACATTAATTCAGAACGTACTCACAAAGGTAAATGCTAATGCCCCACTAATGTTTTTTTTTTTTATGCATAATATTTACTAGTATTATAAAAAGGAAAGATTTGTGTGTTTCTTTGTTTGTAATGGGTAAACTCAAAAACTACTCAACTGATTTATATATCTATAGAAAGCTAATATTATAAGCGGGTAACATAAGTTATATATTACTCTCGAGTAGTATATAGCAATACCACTAGTTATAATAATATTACACAGCGCCCTCTAGTCTTAGACTTAGCAGAACTTTCACAACGGATAAAAGACAATTGATAGAATCTTTACTAATATTATTAAACGTTAAAGTCAATTTGTTTGTTACCCTATAGCGCCTTAACAGTTTAACCAATCACAATAAAAATTAGTATATAACTGACGTACTCATGAAATAAAAAAAAAAAAAAAATAATAATTTTGTTAGTATTTCATGACGTGCGAGGATAGAATCCGTGATCATCGGATGGTGAGGCAGTCTGTTGTTGTCACTATTTTACTAATTTTTCTTTTTATTAATATTATAAATGTGATAGTTTATTTTAGAATGTTCAGATGTTTATTAGTAAATTACATCTGGACATCTGAATATATAATTTAGAATAATCTATACACATATATACAATATATTTTGTTTTCAATATGTGATGAATGATGGAATGGTAACTCGGTCTGAACTAACGGTGTGTACTAGCGGGGCACCAGTGAGGGATGATAGAAGAGTATGAACAGACAGGCCAATTAGTTCATCGTGATGAATACAGTTGGAATTCAGCTTGATGAATTACAAATCGCTTTCTGCCCGCTACTCAGAATTTATTCGTATATCAGAAGTAAGAAACGAATGAAATAAACTACTCCTGTATGACGTATAGATAAAATATACACTAGTTTTAATTTGGACCTTCAAGAACGCAACTGTGAACCGCATCTAACTTGGTGTATAGTTTTTGTGTAGTGCCAAAACAAACGTATAGACAGGCAGACAAAATTTAAAAAAAAATATTGTTTTGGTTTTTATTAGCCTTATTAAGACCCCTCATATAAATTTTTCTTAAATTTCTCCTATGTACAGACATTGTCTAATTACAATTTTACTACATTACAAAGAGTAAGAATGGGGGAAGGGATTGTTAATAATACGGACTACTACTGTCCCATTGTTAGCAATATACCCTATCAGGTCAATCTCCACGTGGTTCCCCCTGGAAACCATCGTCTTTAATTCCAGATGTATTCATCACGACAGGGTAACTGACCTGCTTTGTCATTCTCAACTATCATCCCTCATTGGTGCTCCGCCAGCGTATAACGTTAGAGCAGGAGAGGTTACCATTCCATTATCATCCATTAAAAATAAGAATAAGACTATTAAGATAAGATTACAGAAAGTACATTTGTACTATACTATTCTACTGTAGAATTTTTACCCAACTATAAATAAATAGGTACTAGGTGTGTACGACTAATTTCGATGCAGTAGAGGTAGGATTATACTCGTAATTATATGCATAGAAATATCAAAGTAATCATAGTTGCTGTAGTAGGCACCTATATGATCAAACGAACATCATAAAGTGCAGTTCCATTGATTTGTGTTTTTAAATGGATAATAATGGAAACCCCACCCGCGCTATCGGTATACACCGGCGGGGCCCCGGTTATGGATGATAGGTGGGGATTAAGCAGGTCAGTTAAGCCCATCGTGACGAATTCAACAAGAATTGTTCACGATGGCTTCCAGGGGGAACCACGTGGAGGTCGACCTAATAAGGTATATTGCTAGCAATGGGGCTGTCAAACTCCATTGCTAACAATCCTTCCCCCCCCCCCCCCCCCAGTTCCAGTGATATTAGGTAATTTTATTATGAATTTTGCCGTGCAGTCTTGACATAGAATGAGTCATTGCTTTTTTTCCATAATATTTCAGGGATGTACAACAGCGTCCCTCTTTAAACATTACTAAAGTCTAACTGCGGCTGTCAACCCGTCTACCAAGCGAGGAAACTGTTGACAAAACCGATAGGAGGAGGCCTATGTTCAGTAGTGGACAGTTAACGGCGGATATCATTAATAATAAAATATTATGAGTTCTATCTATAAAATGTGAGTAATATCATTTGAAAATATACCTAAGAATATAATGATTTTTTACAATAATTATTTTGCTGCTTCGTACGCGCGTATATTAGAAATAGGAAAATCAGTAAAATAGGCTACTTGGAGATGACGTTACAATATTAAAACATATACCAGTTTTTAAGTTAGACCTTTAACAATATAACTGTGAAATTCGCATCCACGTGCAGTAATTTTTTTTATTGTTAGAGAGGCAAATGGGTAGACGGATCATCTGACGGAAAGCGGTTACCGTTGCCCAAAATCATCTGCAACATCAGAGGATTCCAGATCACAAATGTACGATTTTGTGTGTTATCAATTTTTGCGTGATACCGGAGTAAACTTTGTTATTTATATATAATGTAATATATTTATTGTGATATTCTTATTTTTGTAATGACAAAATTGTTATATGAAAAGCGCCCTCTGTGAAAGTGGGTAAAAAACAGTAGTTCTTTTACAGGCTACTTTCTGTTAGTATTTGTAGTTACTAAAAAGTAAAATAGATGGCGCTCGAGCAGTTTTCAAAATATTACATTTAATTTTTATTGTTAATTAAAAAAAAAAGATAAATTAAACTGAAATAAAAAATATAAAGAAAAAAAAAATAGTTGTCATCGTCATAATATTTTAAAAATTATATAGTATTTCATTAAGATTTGAATTCACAACCTAATAGTGATAAGTGTTACTTAATTTTGAAGCGACTTTCGACTGGGAGCGTGGCGTCTCCTGTAATCCGGCTACTCGGAGGTCGGAGCTGGAGGATGGTTTGAGGTCGGGAGTCCTGGTGCTAAGTGGCCCATGTTGACTGGACGTCCACACTAAGCCTGGTATTAATATGGACCCCCCGGAGGAGTCCGGCGGGTGCAGGTTGTCTAAGGAGGAGCGAAACGGGCCAGGAGGGAAACCTAGCAGCCAAAAGTTCCCGTGTCGAGCAGTAGTGGGATCGCGCCCGTGAGTAGGTGCTCAGTAACAGCCTGACCAAATACAATCAGACCCATCTCTTTTTACTACTTGAAAATAAAGTAATAGAATGTAATATAACTGAAAATAACTATTTTGTATAACTCTATAAATTAATGTTATTTTATTATAAATACTAAAATCTTTTGTATAGTAGTTTTTTAATAGTACTAAAGTGTTTTATTTTATTTTATGGGACTTTTATGGGACTGGATATTAAATGTTACAATAAGAATAAGGATATTATAGATTTACCTTTTAATAAGATTAAACTGTTATTAAATTACTTATTGAAAAAATTCTAAAAATACATTAAATGATTATTTGAATGACAAATGTGGATAGTATTACGATGATGATGATGATTATGATCGATCATACACGGGCTTTTAACGACATGTAATTTAAGACATAGTACATTTATATAAATAAGAGTTCATATTACATATGTTAACAGAGATTTACAAGAGTAACTGTTAATTTTCTTGTGGGCTCTTTTCAACAGATACAAATTTCCGATTCATAAGAAAATGACGATTTAAAAGTGTTTATGAACAAGTCTATTGAATTTGAATTTATTAATAGTGATAGGTAGCTGTGTATTTTTTTATTTTTACTTTTTGTAAATTTTATAATAATTGACAATGAGTGTATCGGTCTCGCACGAAGTTTCCTGTAACCAACTTGTCAATAATTTATCCTAATTATATGTCCATTTTTACATATAATTTATAATACGGAATTCTAATGGTTTTGTAATAGTTTAATTGTAGTTAATTAATGTACAAATGTTCTGTTTAAGAGTTGGAATGATATTTGGATTTTTAAAATTTTGAATGTCTGTACCATAAATGTAAATTTCCTTAGGTTACTTTCTTTTCTAATTTAAGTAGGCATCTTTTTTATGTTATATTTAGACCTACGTATATATGCTCTTTATTATTTAAGAGAGGGACTGGCTGAAAACCAGCGCTGTGCAGCTATACACATTGCACTGGGACACTCACAGCATCAGCTGAGCCAATTCCTTGTGCCTGATATGATACACTTATTATATAACTTATAATATGACAGTATATTTTGTTGAACCTATGTTTTTTTGGCAACAAATATTTTCTATTCTATTCTATTTTATTATATATTCTATATTTTTTGATGTAAACTAAAAGATTGCGCAATGAAACACATAGTATTTATATTTATATCATTTATTTCCAAACTGATTTACTTTTCATTACAATTGTAGTGACTATCGTGCTATAACTAATCGATCTGATGACACCAAGTGTGTCTTAGTATCGAATCGATTTTTGATTGTATGTTATACTTATTTGGTAAAGTAGCCTTATTCTGTTAATAAAGCGTCACACGGCTGATCACATTTAAAGACTACGTCTAATTATGAGACAAAATAATCAGGACTGTTTCGTCTTCACTTGTTCCTTCTCTTTCGACTTTTCGACTACGTTCGGCTGCACCTCTACAGGGCCCGCTGATTTTTCCATCCCCTCTTCTATTTTGTCAGATTCGGATAAGATTATTTCGGGAATTTGCTGGGCTTTGATCTCTGGTTCAGGTGATTTGGCGGGTAATTTGTTCTGTGGATTATCATTTCCCTGTAATAAGATTACGGTCAGTGACGTGATATAAAAATATTTGAAGTAAAAGGCTGTTATTGAACAAACATAACATTAAATTTTTTTATTAATTATTTTTTTTTTTTGGTATATTGGGATAAAACAGCAAATTCTCATTATTAATACGTTTTTTTTTGTTCCTTAATAACTATATTTGTTGAAAAAAGTTTTTCAGTTTTATTATACGAGTACAAATAATATTCAGTCAAATTTGAATTTTTATCCAGTGCGAAAATATAAAGTAATAATTTCCTTTCCCATTCATTACTATTGTTATTACCAATTATTAGATCAACATTTTAGCATATTTTTTTATTATATTATGAATAAAGGACGCTACCTTGACAGGTTCTAATGCGGGTATTTCCGCATCGAGTTCTTTCACAGCCTCTTTTGCCAGTCCAGCGTTCTTCCCAGCGATGGGACTAGCAGCAGGATCAGGCAACACCGTGCAGTCAGCCTGGCTGGTCTTCACGAAGAAAGCTCTGGAGATCTTGTATTTATCCAGCACTGCGTAAGCCCTTTGCATCACGGTCGAAGACGCCAGTCTATCACGTGTAAGTAACCACGCGCTCTCTGTTAAATGCGTATAGATATCTTAATAGTTTTCAGATATGAAGGTAGTGAATTAAATTTATTTATTGTATAAATAGTATCAAGGTTCAACCAACTTTATGTCTTTTGGCATTAAGCAAGAAAACGATCTTTTCCATATTCCATCACATAATAAACTGTGTGACTTTTTGGCATTTAGAGTTATAAAAAGAATCTAACTATGAAGTAGTTTGTAGCATATTATAGCCATGTTATGGATAGATTATATCTTTATTCAGAGATATTTATTCTGGAATCATCAAGTACAAAGGTAATAAAAACCTTAGTTTTCAGAACTTAAGAATACCAACGCATGTGAAGTTGCCATAAGCGTAACATAGACGTATCTGTATTGTTCATTTCTATGGTTATATATCTATTATAACCTACCAGTATTTTTTTGTGTTTTAAGTCAGACAAAAATTAAACACTTATAAAAAAAAAATTGTGTTTAAAGTTAGGTTTAGCTTTGTATTACTGCTTAAGTGTTATGTGAAAAGCAACTCACGGGTATGCACTGGTCCCAAGCCGCTGCACGACCACATGACCGCAAAGCTGTCATAGTCGGTATCTAGAATGCTGTACTCGTAGTCGTAAGGGAGAGGCAACGAGGAGTACTTCACCATGATACGTCCTTCGCCTTCACGTCCGATCATCTGGAGGCTACCTTCCATAACTCGTTTCACACCAGTTCTGGAAATAAAGTATTTATCAATGTTCCACATAACATCACATACGAACAAGAATTTAGGCAAGGGTGCGAGTTATAAGAATCAATTAAGAGAAAAAGAGAGAGAGCATCAGGAGGTTAGCCATTTGTTAGGAGTTTTCTTACTACTCATAGCATTAGCTTGCGTTTAGCAGCGGGAACATATTCTTATGGTAGTTCTTATTTTTCAGATTCTTATGAAAGTATGGACACAATTCTTGCTTTTTTACTAATATTATAAATATGAAAATTTATTTGACATCTTATGATGCTTTAACGGATCATGAAATTTGGTAAACCTATACGTATTATATGGGATGGAGAATATTTTATATTCTCTGTTAATCGAAATATTATTATTCCGGTTACGAGAATAAAATCGCAGGTAAAAACTGGCCTATTACTAGGAAAAATAAGTAAGAGAATACTAACAAGTAATTAATAATTTCATTGGCGACGAGTATCCTGCCTTCTGGGGTGCTGACGTAGTTGGTCGTGACGCAGCGGCTGGCCAGCTCGCTGACTGTGAAGTATCGTTCGGCTTCGTACCAAGTGCCAAGGAAACGATTCATACTGAAGTTGGCCATTGGCTGTACAACAAAAACATAACTTAGAAGATATATATGAGAGGCAGAGTTTAAAAGGAAACTAAATTAACAAGGCAACAAGTAAGCAGTAAGAATTCTACTATCGAATCTGAACTTTTTCTAAAAAACATTTTTTGTAAAATAACATATTATCTTGATTGTCGCGTTATGTGTAGCTATCGTGAATGATTTACATATTTACAATCCAATAAATAGAAGTTAAGACCTGCAATTTGAAAAGATGTTGTACTTTGTTTGTACATTCACTTGTATTTTGTCTGATAATTCTTTCTGGAATCAATAGAGGTTGCTCCTGTGCTAGTATCATATTGATTTTGTCATAATTAAAGAAAATCTTTTCAATTAAAGTAGAATTGGACCAATCTTTAGAATTATTTCTAAATTTAACAAAACTTTAGAATAGAAGAAGATATAAGGGAATATATCATATAAGGCAAGGATTAAGAATCGACTAATAGAAAACTTGATGCCAAAGGCGATAACTGAAAACGAAAGTCCGTCCAATGAGTGTTAATGACCGCGGGACCGCATCCGACCGGTCCTGTTGTTCGCGATCAGTTCTGTTATATAAGTTGTACAATCAGGTGTAATGGTAGAACTGAGGTTAAGGTCAACACTGATGTAAGATTGATTGGACTGGTCTGTAGTCGTGTACTCCTCAATTTTACTTTTAGTAGTGTTAATTGGTTTGAACAGTAAGAAACAAATGTTGCTCTTGTAAAGTCAGTTCTTTTGTATGTAGTTCTTTTTAAGACTTAGAAGTTTTGAGGATCATCAAGATCTTGACTTGCATAATTCATGCAAGTCAAGATTCAATTGATTAGGCGTGATAAGTTCCACTTAAATTTATAGTAAATACCGTGAGTTGCTAAGTATTAAATGGTTTATTTTAGTTATGTGTATTATGCTTGTTTATATGATTTGGTTTGGCAAAAAATCTAATGGCCCATCTGATGGAAAGTGACAACTATCGTTTACTATTTAGATAACCAGCATCGAAAATATACAGAAGATCTACCCAGTATTGTGTATGTGTGATAGTGTGGAGTACAGGCTACATATATCATTTATAGTTTTTATATTATTATTTTATATTATTTTTCAAATAAGAAACTGACACGCAACTCTATTGTTTCTTTTTTTGGCTTCCCTTCACGGCTCTAGCCTTCTAAGTTCCTTTTATTAACATACATTTATTTCCAATTTCCATTCTTGGCTTTCTTTGTCGCTCATACATTGCACTTCTTATTCGTTATCATGTCTAATTATTTTTCAGTAATTTCACTATCATGTGATCTTTACAGAACCTTAGCTAAACTGAGGTGTTTCTATAACACATATGTTTAGGCTTCACCTAACGTTGAATGTGGGAGCTAAGAAGTTTTTGCATTCTGAATTGGGATTCTTGGGAGAAGCAATACATGTTATTTAATTATTATAATTAAATTATTAAAGTAATTTAATTATTCACTGATGTTTCAACAAAATGTTAGATAAGTAAAACTAGATTATTATTTTAAAGAAAATACTTTAGAAAGTAACCATTCATTTATAAAATAAGTTAAAGTTGATATAGTTTAATGTATGAATATAAAATATTATTAGCTAGTATATATTTATTACATACAAATAAAGATATATTAATGAGAATTTTTTTCTGATTATATTGTGTTCCATATTGACAATAAGCAACCAAAAGTAATACAATTATTGAGAATAAATGTAAATATAGAAATAGGAGATTAATTGATTGATTCACGTTAATTAATAAGACACACCTATTCTAAATAAAAAAATATAAAAAAAAAAAACTAATAAATATAGGAATCAATTTAAAAACAAAGTCAAAAGAAACGAAGAAAAATAATAAATACCTGAAAGTCGGGGCACCATCCTAAAGATGGGATCTGCGCAGACGCAGAACCGATGAAGGCTAACGCGAGTATTTTCCACATTGCGGAGGCTCGGGTATCCAGGACTGACGACACAGGAATGCCCTCCGATGTCCCAACACTCGCTTATAAACCCTCGCAGCTCTCTGGAACCGGTCTTGAACTTGAAGACGCATCTAATGGATCTCCTTATCTAGTAAACCTAGGCTGATTTATTGCGGACCCAGTAGGCACGGCAAGCAATGAATTTCGCAGTTCTTGTTAGGTAATGCGCATGTGTGTGCCATTAGTGTTTATTTGTTTGCTTTCGTTTCTGTTTGTTGGGAGTTGCTCATGGAGATACTTTTTTTTTTCTTTTTTTTTTACTATAGAACAAAGCGCTATATTGTTATGTCAATCAGCAGGGTTTTTAATATTCTTAGGGCAATTCTATTTAAATTATCTACTTTAGTTATATTACATTTATATTTTATATAAGAACCAGTTTCTGTATTTGGAATTGGATACGCGTGAAAATTTAACGTATGTGCAATATTGTAATACGATCGATCCGATAAGGTTCTTTTTTTTTATATAAAAGTAGTAATTTCTGACGTTACTTTTGAGGCGACAACTTTATCACCATTTTGTTTATGTATATCTGTAAATTTAAACTGTTTTTTTTATATATGTAAATATATCATGAGATCTGTGTCATGTAGTCAGTCCAGGTGTTTAGAGACGTTCTCTTTTTCTATTACTTTAAATATCATTCTACCAAATTGAATTAAATGCAATCTGTTGGAATATCTTCGAATTTGTTCTTTAAGTTTCCTTTTGTATCGATACATTACGGTTGAAGTTTGAAGACTATTACTACCTTATTAGGCGAAACAGTTAGTTTATATAAAACTATTGCCTATAATGAGTGTTTAGATAGATAAAAGATATTTCCGATTGACAAATACCTTAAAATAAAAAAGTTTGTAACACTTTTTTTTTAATACGAGTATGTAGTATTGTCGCCTAAATTGTTTTCCAATATTAATGTTATGTTATGACTGTAGCTTTTGTTTTTTTTTTTTTTTGGACAAAATCTTATATTATTTAGATTAGAAATATAATCTTTTAATGTTCGGAATTATATATTTTTGAGGGATCAAGTAATTTGTTATCTCTCCTTTAGGTTTCCCCTCCCCGCCCCTTTAGATATGTGAATTCTTACTCAGTTGACGAAACCTTTAACATCATTCATATAATAAATATTATTATTATTAGCATTTAATATCTAAAACTTTCTACTCTAGAGAGAAGCAAAGTACCAATTTGTTAATACTTGCTAAATCTTGAAAGCGGTTTCAATCTCTTTTTAGATTACTAACGTTGCTGTACAAAATTGAAAGTCAGACCTTAACTAAGTAAATCTATAAAGTTCATTGGATAAAACGTTTTTTATTTTCAGTTGACTTCAAAAAGAAAGAGGTGCTCAGTTCGGTTGTATTTTTTATGTTTGTTACCTCATAATTGCGTCAGTTCTAAAGCGTTTTAGATTTTTTTATCTGAAAGGATATACTTACAGATTAGTTCCATAGAATTTTTATCAGAATTGGTTCAGTAATTTAGTTTATAAAACAAAATAACTTGTTTTGTCAAAGAGATTGTTTTGTAACTACGATTAGATGGATACAGTTTATTGTTTCCTACAAAAGATTACAATAGTAAACTTGTTATAAATATAAATAATTACAAGAAATAATAATACTGAGAATATAATAGGTGGCCTTATCGCTAAAAGCGATCTCTTCCAGGCAACCTCTGGATGGAGGAGAGTAATTACAAACAATTTGATCGGAATATATTAAGTCTATTTTGTCATTTGCTCTCGTTTATTTATTATGTAAGTTTTTGTGGAAACTTCACTGATATATGTTATTGATACATTTATTATTTATGTGCTACAGAAATTGTATGTTTCCTTAATAAAGTACATAATAAAATAAAATAAAAAAATAAAATATATGGCTAGCAACGACAAACAATCTTACAGCTCATACACAAAAAAAGCATAATTATAACAAAGTCGCAGCTCTGTCTGTCGGTTTTGATTTACTCGTTTTTTTTTGTATCAGCCGTTAACTGACCACTGCTGAACATAGTCTCCCTCATAAGGGCGGAGGGGGGGGGGGGGTGACAGTAGTTGCCACGGTTGGCAGGCAGGCAGGTCGTTTTAATAAGCACGCTGCTGCCCATCCCTCCACTATAAGCTCTCATAGTTGCCTCTTACAACACCCACGGCAAAGGAAGTGGTGGCCTATTCTATGCTGGGAACTACACGGCTATAATCGCATGTTTTCGAATAAACACTTTGTATAACGACAAACGACGAATGGTAAGTAGAGTCCTTATTAGTCATTAGAATATATCCTGTCAAGTCGACATCCACGTGCTCTCCACTGGAAACCCTCGGAGTTAGTTCTTAGCGAATTCGTCACGATGGGCTAACTGACCTGACTTTAACCTCGTCTATTATCTCTTACTGGTGCCGCGTGTGTATATAGGTAAATAGGCGGGATTACCATTTCATTTCATCTTATTAAAAGAAAAACATAAATTATGCAGCGTAATTATTTATAACGTATATATATTAATTATAACGTGTTCCTAAACAAGTTATCTACTCTTCATATCTCAAAGCGACCATTGGCACTTTCCATCAGATAGGCCTCAGACTTGTTTATGATTACAGTAAGATTATGAAAAAAATAATAAATAGGTATACATATTTATGTCGGATTTTCGGAGTCTTAGGTTTTATTCGGAAGAGTAAGACATAGAAAAAAATCGATTTAATAATATTTACTAAATTTTTACTATCTGTGCCACAATTCTGTTAGCATCTTTGAAAAAAAAAATGCTTAAGTCACTTCAAGTTTATATTGGTATTCCTGGCTGAGAGTTTTATACACAAAATAATTTGTTAATAAGCGTTTTCTTTAGATAATATCCCTAATTTATTTGAACACTACCTATGCCCGCAAATTTGTCTATATGCATAGAAACGTTCGTACTTATTTATTTTATTTTTAACCGACTTCAAAAAAGGAGGTTCTATTGTATTTTTAATAGTTTGGGAAAATATACAGTTTATAGTTTCAAGGAGGTATTCTCTTAATAGGATATTGCTCGATTTCTTAGCAAGTTTGCGTATGAATCTCACGACTCATCTGGAGCCAGGAGAATATAGATATATTCAACCGTGCGATGTCGTTAACGTAATGCATAGGACCTATACGAGTATAATGATAGTACAAGCTAGGGGGAAGCATAACAGATACCAACGGGTCGACAACGATCCCAACAGTTTAACTAAACCCAAAAACTATATTAAGATAATTTCATCCCATTCATTTCTTATTTAAGAGCTGCCTTCTTGTTGCTGGAACTCTTGCCACTCACTACGATCTTCAGCGAGTCTCTTCACCTCTTGACACGACACGGCACCAACTTTTTCCTTGATCTGTCTGATGCCTTGGTCTTCCCCTTCCCCTCATTTCTTCTATCTTATCTTCTATTATAATATTTATAAGTCCGTCGTGTTTATATCAAGTGTCCTAACATTTTTCCCTTTTGACCTCAATCGTTTTTATAATTTGTCCCTTTTCCTTAACCCTTTCCACTCCAATGTCGAGTGTCACTCGACATTCATTTTGTACCATACCAAAAGGGATTATAAAGATTAGAAATAAAAATTATAATATAGTATCCTGTAATTACTCATAAAATAAAGTTTATCATATAAGAAAAAATAAATTTTATTTACAAAATACGAAAAACCCCTAAAAGTTAAAAAACGCAATTTTAGCTTGGAGCTGGTGGACTAAAAAGAAAAAAAGGCTTGGAGTGGAAAGGGTTAATTCTAACAAGTACCATCTCATTACTAATTCAATCTTTTCAGCAAATTTTCTTCATCCTTCTCCAGTACCACATAAGATTATATAACAGGATACTAAAGGAGGGAAAGGGATTGTTAGTAATGGGGACTAATGGTCCCATTGCTTTTTTTGCGTTGTATTCAAATAAGTTTTGGAAAATATTTTCCATTCACTTCAAAAAGGAGGTGGTTCTCAATTCACCTTACTTGTATTTGTGTAATACATAATAATATTCGCTGAATTCAGAAATGTTTTTAATAAGTTTTTTTTAATCCAAAAACTTTACTCCTATATAGCATAGAACTTTACCTTTCTGATTATGTGGAAATTGTTCAAAATTGACCTTTTTACATACAATGACATTTGTAGTTTTTTATAAAAAATAAAATTGATAAAACAATTCAACAATTGAAATAGAACAAAAAATACATAATATACTTCAAGTCAACAGACGGTAATTTTATTTACAATATAATATAATAAATAATATAATATAAATAATAATATAATTAAATACTAAGAACCAGCACATATTACAAACAGAAATTAAAGTAATTTTTTTCGAATGTATTTGTATCAGTTTTTAACAGTCCACTGCTGAACAAGTAGTTAAGTTTAGATACACTATATGAAACTTATTAATCATTTATATGTACAAATAAGTGTATATTTGTTTAATAAAGTGAAATAAAAATTTAAAAATAAAACTTAATCACTTTAAAAGCTGTTTCCTCTAAATGTAAACAGAAGAAAGTTAATCTGTATGCATCGTTAAAATACCATTATCTAGTTAGCTAATTATTAATACAAAAGCATCGAATGGAATGTTCCCAAGAGATTCTTCGCAAATGGTAAAGTAAAAAGATGCAAGACCCATCTGCCAACTTACCGGTTCCACAATACAGGCTGGCCATTTTTATTTTCTATTTTTAAAACTTTGTACCCTGTATGGATAGTGTACTGCTTGTCTGGCCTGTTTTTGCAATTTACTTTGTATGTATAAACATTTCTAATTAGGGTTGTGACTATTTTTGAAATCATCGTTCATTTAATTAAATTAATCATTCAAATAAATGATAGACACATATTTTTTTTATATTTTTTCTTGATTACGAGCGTCCAGTTATGTTTTTAATTGTATAATTGCGTAATAATCAATTAATATTCGATTAAAAATTGTTAATCAGTTTAATTGATTATTAATTGACCAAGTTATTAATTCTGAATATATCCTAATAGTATGTTTAATTTTAACTAGGTATGATTGTTATCATTAGCTATACAATTTTTATTCTGGATTATTCTATAAATAGTTTCTTTTCAATAAATTAAAGTTAATATAAAATTCCTTAAATACTAATAACAATTAAAAGTAATCCCCCAACGCACCACACCGAGGCAGCGTACCCAAGATACTGGCAGCATTACCTCTTTGGATTGCCAAACTTTCTTCTTTCTTTTCAGCTTCACAAAAATTTACTGTAAGAAATCCCTCTATTGGATAAGTCCGCTATTGTACTTTATATATTTCAATATTAATTCAATTTAAAGTATGTATCATAGAGATTTTACTATACAGTAGTGGTTAGCAGTGGGGGCTGACCGCCCCATTGCCAGCAAGGAACCTTGCCAGATAGACCTCTACTTTAATTTACCTCTATTCTAATTTCTGATTAATTCGTCATTTATCATCTATCATCACTCTCTAGTGCTTATGTGGTACATATTTTCATGTGCTTTTTCAAACAATATATATGTATAATTATTTTAGAAATTTATTAAATATTTAATGATACTAACACTGATCACAGACTACGTATGTATATTTGTATATATTACGTGGAGATAAAATGCGTTTTATGAACGCAAATATGAAACGAAATGTGAAATATCATGAAAGTGAAAGTGAAAAATGATGAAATCTGTTATTATAATGTATTAACGATTTTCTATTCATAAATTTATAATTTAAGATTGTGTTTCACAAATAAAAATCTACTTCAATCGTGGCAAAACTAATTATTTTTGTTTAAAAACTAAATTTCTGAACCGATTTATAATATTTTTTTTTTTTTTTTATACAACTTAGAATGGCAAACAAGCTGACGGCCCACCTGATGGAAAGTGGTAACCGTCGCCTATAGACATGAGCAGTAGCATGGACATAACAGAGTATACTGTTTCACCCATGATACCCCCCATGCGTTGCCATTCCTGAGGACTCAGGTGTTATTCCTCTGTACCCAGTAAATTCACGCCATATCCCACCCTTCAAACCGAAACACAGCCATGCAAACACAGCTGCTTCACGGTTGAAACACGAATTACCCAAGCAATCGACTTTTGTACAAAGTCTCCCTCTGGGAGATAATAATAGGACCTATGGGACCAATTTAACATACAACGAAAGGGAAAAGTTTTTATTAAAAAAAAAATTAAACATATCATAAAACTATTTTAGCTATAGAACTGTTTTTTTCTTTTTTGAGCTATATTTTTAATTTTTTTCATGTAACTTAGAATGACAACCAAGCTGAAGCCTCACCTAATGCAAAGTGGTGACCGTCACCTATAGACATGAGTAGTATCATGGACATAACAGAGTAGTCTGTTTCGTCCATGTTACTCCCCTCCCCCCTCATGTGTTGCCAATCCTGAGGACTAAAGTGTTATGCCTCCGTACCCTGTAAATTCAGTTATGCAATTTAAAAGAAAATAACTTGTAGTAGTTAAAATACGTTTGTTTGAATAAGGGGGTTAAAATATATCCTTTCAAATTAAAATAACTTTTCAAAATCGATTTATACTGACGGATTTATGAGGTAACAATGTTTGTCAAAAATACAAACAAATTAAGTATCTCCTTCTTTTTTTAAATTGGTTGAAATTCATTTATGGGATTTAGGCTACTTTTTGTATATTAAAAGACATGATTAATTTTATACATTACAGTGATTTTAATAATATATTCTATAGATCTTCAAAGATCAAAACTAAGGACTGCGTATGATAGAAATGCTATTTCTTCAGTCATTTCTGTTTGCGAGCTGTTGTGCGTGAGGGAACTGGATAAGTGTCTACCTACAAAGTGGTTATTACTTTTTAATTACACTAACCAAGAACTAGTTCTTACTCGTTCTTATACAGAAACAAATGCGGCATACCTGTCAGCTATATTAATAATGTTTGCTTATAATTTAACAATATTATGAAAATTTAATCATCTAGATAGTAAATAATAATGTCTCTATAGAAATATTTATTTCCCTTTAATGTTATCGACTGGTTATTAATATATAAAATTGTATTATTATTGTAATTGGTAACTTATCACAAAAACTAGGATTTATTTTGAAGTTGGAAATTGATACACAAAATTATCGATGTTAATTAGAATTGAACTTATTACATTTGAAATCCGATAGTTGACGGTTTTAGTACATATATATATCTTTAGGCTAGGTGTTTTTATGTTAAGCTACATATCTATTTATGTATAATCGTAGATCAAGGTTGATACTATCCACTTATGTAAAAATTTTAAAATAAATTTAAAAAACTACATAGATGTTTAAAGGAATTTATATGTTTTGTATATCACTGAATCACGCTTAAACGGCTGAAAAAATTTGAATGAGATTTCTTTTAGAAACAGATCATATTCTCTGTCAACATACCTATAGATTATTTTTAATCCAAATCAAGTAAAATATGCCGTTACATGCAGTTTTACATTTGAATAAAATTATAAATAGACGTAAGAAAAACTTTATAGAAATTAATCCCATTAATATCACGAATTCGAAACTTTGTAACGAAGGGTGGATATTTGTTACACTTTCACGTAAAAAGTAATGAACGGATTTCATTTAAATTTGGCACATTTGTATGTTTTATCCTACTTTTGCACATAGGATACTTTACATACTGATTCTAGGTAAATCCGCGGGATACTACTAGTATGAAATAAATTGTAAAAGTATTATAAAGTGAAGGTATACAACTCACCTGTTTGAGTGTGTCCGTCGCAGTGACTTGAAATGCTTCACTATTGTTATAATTCGTGTTATAACATAGGGCTTCGGTGGTCAACCATGCGTATGTATACTGTACATAACATACTCGTCTTGGCCAATTAACAGCTTAGTAAGTAGGTAAGCATATCGCATGATTGAACTATATAGGGGTTTTTTTTTATGATACTTAGAATGGCGGATCATCATCATTGTCATATCAGCCTTTAACTGTCCACTGCTTTGGGGGGAAAGGGATTGTTAGCAATGGAGTTCGACATTGCTAGCAATATGCCCTATCAGGTCGACCTCCACGTGGTTCCCCTTGGAAACCACCGTGAACAATTCTTGTTGAATTCGTCACGATGGGCTAACTGACCTGCTTCATCCTCATCTATCATCCCTCACTGGTGCCCCGCCGGTGTATACCGATAGCGCGGGTGGGGCTACCATTCCATTATCACCCATTAAAAAAAAACTGTCCACTGCTGAACATAAGCCTCCCTCTTTGAAAGGTTTTACCCGTAGATGTCGTATTTGTCAGGCGGATTGGCAACCGTAGTTAGGCTTTAGAGATGTTTTAAGAGAGACGCTGCTGCTCATCCTTCGACTTTTTAGTCGCCTCTTATGACACCTATGGGAACGAAAGGGATGGCCTATTCTATGCCGGGACCACACGACCGCTCAAATGGCGGATACCGCTAACAAATGCATGCCCAAGGAGAGTTGTACTGGCATGTATGTATGTTGACTGTCAGTAATAAAGCTTGACAGTGCCGTAAGGGGTATTACGGTAGATTGTAATTGTATAAGATTTTTAAGGAACTATTTGTTATACGGAAGATCTATTCACCCGTATATGTTTAGCTATTAATATAGTGTAGTCACAGGGTAGTCGAAAAACAAATATCATCAATAAAATGTAGGTACAGAAAGATGAGATGGTGAGAGAAAACGGCGTTTGGAGAGGTGCAATACGGAAAGTTATCAAGTGGTTTAAGCTGACCTAATTGAGTATCGTTATTATTATACTAGTGAACAGAAACGGTATTTAAATATTATTGGCATTAGTAAATCACTGTTAAATGAGTTCTCCAATCTTAAGTGATTTTAGATGATTACATACCGTAGGGGTAAGTTCAGACTTAAAAATTGATATACCTAAATTACAGTTACATGGAACACATAATATCACAGTTAATGACGATGTGTCTTCATTGTTGTAGCCTAAGGAAATGTCCTTGATTGAATCCTGAAGTTACACATTATTTATCCCTGAGGATAGCCGTGGTCTGGTTTTAGCAGAGTTCCGCAGCAACATAAAAACTCCTGGCGGCCAAAATTAGTTTTAGTCCAACATAGACTTAAGTTGTGGTTTAATTTAAGTCATCAGTTCATCATATATATTTAAACTGGTAAAAGTTTCTTTTATTTGCAAGATAACCCGTAAAAGGGGGAAAGAGATTGTTCACATTAACCACCATGGTGTCCAGGGGGAACCGCGCGGAGGTCGACCTGATAGGGTATATTCTTAGCAATAGTGCTGATCCTGTCACTAATGATCCCTTTTTCTCACTATTATCTCTCACTGGTGCCCTGCCAGCGTATATCGATAGTGCAAGCAGGGTTACCATTCCATTACTATTCATAACAATAAAATAACAGATTAATAATATATATGCATAACAGATACAATTGGTATATAAGTATGAAATTTCGTTACTCAATATGTCGACGTAGGTATTGGAATTATTAATTCACTTGATTATTATTAAATAAATATAAATGACTCTTTTATCCTGATTACTGCGGGCAAACTTATTGAATACAACAACTATAACAATAACAGACAGATGATAAGTTACTTTAGGTAATATTGATGGTTTTCAGGGGGGGGGTAATGCGGAACCAATGCCGCTACGTGCCCCCTAGAAACCATGGTATATACTATATAGAATATATTTGAATACAGATTATGTCTATACTGATTCTATATATATATATATATATATATATATATATCTTGAATGATTAAGTATATTGATTATTTGGAATGGGGACTCAACGTTCCATAACCATTATTATAATAAGACCATTTGATAATAAGACGGCTAAGTTATGTGTTTAATTTCAGAGATTTTGTTATATAATTTTTCTATGCAATTTGTTCATTTACAGAAGAAATAGATAAAACAGTTGTATATATCATACTAGCATGTAATTACTTCCAAAGCTTTATTTTATATATATCTATAAATATCTATATGTATGTATTTATATACTCTATAGGAGCCCTTATTCATAAGCGCGGTTCATGGATGTGTTGCGGGTAGCACTGCGCGATCAGATCGCTGGACGCATGCGGTCATCTCTAATCAGATATTCCCGAATTTAAAACGTAAGTAAAGTTGACATAAATAATTACAAATTTGTAAGTAATTTTTAGTAGTAGTATTAAGAACGAGTTTTGTAATTTATCAATCGATGTATTCCTGCACTGGTTACAGAAATTGTTAGGAGTTATGGAGAAGTTGGTTAGCATACTTACAAAATACAATTCAGAGTGAATGAATTTGAATGACATTAATACAAATAGAGCATATCCTAGTTGAATACATAGGCTACATTATGCTTTAAATAGATTGAAGGGGCAGGGCGCAGTTAGAAATACCAGGGTTTCATTGTAATATAAATATCTACTAACATAGTAATTGTAATATATAATATATGTCCATGACATGAAAATAAAAATTTTGTACTGATTTTTAACCATGAAATGACGTTTGTACTCCGTGCAAAAACTTTGTAGAAATATAACGTCTAGATATGTTGTTCCTTATTTGGAGTAAGTATTCGATTCGACTTATGCCTTGGCCTATAGTAACTATTTATTTTTTCAATTGTACGTTATTTAATAGAAAGACTCGATCTACAAAATTATGAGAAAGCAGATAATATTTTTTTGTAATTGTTTGTATTTATAAAAGGTTTACTATTGTAATATTATAGAGGAAACAATAAAGAGTATCTATTTATCTATCTATAATATTGTATGAAGTACCTATTAATGTAGGAATCAGATAATTCTAGTACCAACCATTACCTTATGTTTGATAAGTTTGTGGGTTGACTTTTTCTAAATTACGTCCAATTTAAATTCGGGACAGATTTAACGTAACTTTTGTATGGATTATATGGATTTTTATTTATTTAAATGAGGAATAGACGAATAAATAACAGTGAGTTGTGTAACTAAAATATTCTCGTTATTTAATTTACTACAGTAAGAACACATTTTTACAGAATGTTAATGTTCTATCTACAAAAAAATTTACACTATGTGAATTCTTATAAAATACTTTTAATTTACAATTAACAGAGAAAAATCAATATTCAAGTTCAACAATATTAAGTTAAGCTTTTTTTTTTCATCATTAACCTTAAAAACTATTTATTATTTACATTAATTCTTAACAACGTCATGTTTTAGATAATAATATTTCGAAAACTTGTATCAAATCGGTTTTGTGTTTTGAATTTTTTCTCGAATTATTATAATAAATTAATAAATGAAAACTCGAATAGTTCCAAAAAAAAAAAACTTTTTCACATTCAAATAAATGTTAACGGCATTTTTTTCTGTGTTTAAATTATAATTCCATTTTATATATTACTCAGTTATTTTATTATTTTAATGCAGCTTATAAAAGAAGGTACTTGTTTATTATTATTGATAATTATGTCCTCCTTTTATCCCTTATGAGAGTCCTAGGGCACGTAGAAAGGTCTTCCATGTCTGATGGTCTTGAGTCACAAGTTCCAGTTCTTCTCAACTAAGACCGGATTTATTAATATTATATTTAGTAAGTTACCATAGTAACTATTAGATTTTATTTTTTAATAGTAAAAATCAGTATTTAAAGAAGAATATTAGGATATTTAATGATTACATATACTCTCAATTAAGTACCTCATAAAATAAATTTAAGCTTATTGTAATAAATCGAGAAAACATTCTTGTTATATGTTTGTTTCTATTATAAATACAGTATGTACTACAATTATTTTGCATTGATTATTTTTTATTTGTAGGCTATTTTTCTCTTCAAACATATCACAACATTCAACAGAAGAATGATTGGACTTCAAAAAAGTAAAGTTTGTTCGATTTTAAATGTTCTCTTATTTGTTTAAGCAGACGAATTATGGACGAATGTCTTGTCATGCACAGTTCACTTAATCCTAACTTTATTTACATCAAAAAACAAAATAGTGTTGAAAATATGGAAAACGCAATGGAAGACAGCGTCCTCGATGTGCCTAATTATAATAAAAACAGACATTTATCACATAAAATAATCTATGATACCACAAAATCACAATTCTTAAGATTAAATTGTTCCCCAATTACGAAAACTATGTCAATATTTGACATAAAAACAAAACAATAAGAAAAAAAATAAAACATCAGGTATAACGAAAGGTAACGTTCGAATGAAAATCATTAAAGCATTTCGACAAATTTATCTTTTACACTATGTTTTGAACTTGTTGTTGGTAACTTTAGTTTTAATTGTGGTATACACACACTTAATAAAGCTCCATATATACAGAGCGATTATTGCAATGATTTCAGCCCTCCTAGACAAAGTATAAACTAATCTAATAATATATAATTGTTATCGTTGGCGAGTCTATGAGATAGAATGAGACAGTGATCTGAACTGTCTTGTTCTTTACGAGTTCTTACACAAGCGATTCCATCGATAGATTCGTTTGTATGTTGTCCAGGGGAGCAGGATTATCGTTTCGATCGACCGAAGCGATAAATCGCTCTTTATATGGCAGCATAAGCAAGAATTGCATCGTTACAGGTATCTATCGTAAATATACTATCGTCCAAATGTTTGGAAGCAGTACGATAAAATTAAGTAAAACAAAACCATGTAAACTTATTTGTATTGGTATAAAATTAAAAATTTAATAAAAAATAACTTAAACAAACTGACAAATCCAATTCGGCTGGGCAGCGTTCAGAAAACTATGCCACATCTTTTCATCCAAAATACCTCAAAGTTTAAAGACGAAGGTCTTTGATCAGTGCGTGTCGCTAGTGATGATTTATGGAACCGAAACATTGTCCTACACGATTGTCCGTATGCAATAGCTTCAAATTACTCAGCGGGCTATGGCGAAACGAGGATATTCGCAAAAGAAGCAAATTAACCGACATAGCCCAAAGGATAAGCAAGTTAAAGTGGCAATGGACTGGTACACATAGCTTGAAGAATCGACAACCGATGAGGAAGCAAGGTTTATGAGTGCCGACTCTATACCGGCAAACTCGGTGTAGGACGACCCCTCACTAGATGGAGTGACAACCTCAAATGCATAGTAGGGAGTCAGTGGATGTAGGTGGCTGAGTACCGTCCCTCATGGCAGTCTATGAGGGAGGCCTATGTTCAGCAGTGGACGGATAATGGCTGAAATGATGATGATGATGAACTTAAACAACATAAAAAATTGACAAACTATTATAATGAAATTTAAATTACATTTTAGCTTTATCAAAGCGTACATCTTTTTTTTTTAGTAATCAGGGTTGTCAGGTGTTTATTTACGCTATTTTGGGTAATAATTTACTGTTGACGAAGTTTTTTTTTATAACACAAAGTGCAAACGACCATTCGGCTCACCTGATGTAAGTAGCTACCGCCGCCCAGAAGTACTCAAAAATTAGAAGCATTTAGTAGAACTGAAAGTATTGGAGAAAAATCAAATGGGCTCAGAGAAATTTGAGTATATTTTTGGATATTTATGGTATTTGTAAAGTGTATAGAGGTATATAAATACAATAAATTGTACAATGTAAAATGAACAATAGAAATAAGAGTGGAAATGACAATAAAAATAAGATTTGCTGGAAGAAATATCTTATTAGAGATAAGTTCGCCTTTGTATATTATATTTAAAATTAATTGTTCTTAACATTATATTTGTGTACAATAAAGAATAAACAAATAAAGAGTGCTTTTTTCGTCGCTCATTTTGTAGTACATGATAAAACGAAGTGAAAAAATAAACGAAATCGTATCGACTTGAAGGAAAAGTATTAGATATTTGGGTGAAAATCTAAAATCGCTTTAGGCGACTCTGATAATGTAATAAAATTGACAAAATAGGTTAAAAATTTTACACCAAATATTTCCTATAAAACCACGCTATCGCCTAAAACAATGTAATTGACGGATAAGGCCATAAAACACATGTTTAGACTTGTTAGTTAGTTTAGTTAAAATCAAGGAATTTGGTAAGACTTGAATTTGGGTTTATATATTTTTGGTTTTTGTATAATCAGTCGTAAAATGTCATAAAATTTGTTCGTTGTTAATTTTTACAGCATACAGTCGACAATCTTTTGGATAAAAATAGACGTGCTCCCAAACTTTTGGACGGCAGTGTATAATGGAATTGCATTTTGTTAATAATAATGCCTGTTTTATGAAATATACGTATTTTGCAAAAGTAATATTTCTTGTACAAAATGAGTATTACGGATACTATATAAAACTTGTTCCAATTACAAAAAAAATGTAGACAGTATTATTGGAATAAATTTTACAAACATAATTTAATATCAGACACTTTTATTAGAAACCTTAAAAGATAATTGAATATCCAGCCTTCTTTATAACAATAGTTTTAATATAACTGGCCACAATAATGTGTTCGACAAAAACTATTTCGAAAGCACTTCTGAGTTCATTAGCGCAGCTAAAATACAGCGAGTTTATGAATACATTCATTTGAATTATATTTGATAAGCTTCACATTAATACTAAAATAGTAAATTAATCGAAAAATAGAAAGATATTCAAGTTTTATACAACAGTTCTTAGTAGAAATATGGAAATGGTTACAGAAATATCAAAGTTAATATGTAGTTATAAACTACAGAGATGAGATTATAAAAATTGGTACCTACATACGTTAAGTTTAACAAATCATTATCATTTCAGGTCCCTTTAATTTCTCTTAATTGTACACCAAAATATTTTCAATGCTTTACAAATCTTTGGTGTTCAACCACATTGCAAATAATCGGTACGAACGAATGAAGTATATAAAGGCATAATAATTATAAAAATATAATATTACGAACACATTTTTTTTTTCTATTTTAGAAGTTACATAAATGATAAAACCTAATATTGAGATTGTATAATGTCGTTAAAAAGCTGCGAAATGCCAAATCCGATTTAATAAAATGGAACAAAGCTATGGCTGAATTTATTCGTCAAAGTGTACTTAAATACTTATTAAGAAAATGAAACAGATAAGATGGAATTCACGTAATATAAGAGTTATCATTGCTGTCAAGCTTATTTCCTCTTTTTTTTCAAATTTACAAAAAGCAATGCATGTTAATTAAAAAAAAAATTGATAAGAGTACATATTATAAAAAAAGGTCCAATGGATTGAAATAATTATTAAAGTGAATTGTCCAACCTTACTGTTTAAATATTGATTCATCAAAATGAGAAACGCATATTACGTATATTTGATATAACTCTTTGTTCCGCACCTGACTAGAATTATTGACTGAATACTTTAATTGGAGAAAGTCTTACAGTCAATGCTACAACCCATATCGACGCCACTGAAGTTTCATCAAGTTACTGATTTAAATTAGGAGGTAGTTTAAGTGACATTCTTTAGGCTCTACTACTTTCGCAACTTTTCATTGACAATCGTGTCTATTTTCTATACTTAAGGAATTAATGTGTCGGTGGCTTTTAAATATTATTTACCCTAATGAAATACAGCTTTCAAATAAATACTATCTTGGAAGGTATTGGTCCCGGATTATAATTTTTAAACAAATTATAATAATTTGGACCCATTCGGCAAACATGTGATTTTAAATTAGTCATCAACACTACACCCGCAGTAGAATTCTGCGAATGCCTCACTCACTATGAGTATCGCTCTGCGATATTACATCTTAAAACTAAATCTTAACCTAGTATCCATCTTAAACACATATCACAATTGAGCTCTCGAATCGAGAGAAGAAATTTCATAGTCCATAATTACGCGTTGAGTAGCGTCATGTGGGCGAGCGTCATTCGTGTAGATTTTTGCTCAGCAGTAAACTGTTGTGTGGTCCTGATAAATGTCTGATGAGTTCCGGTAATGCTTCAAAAGTAAGTTGACAGAAACAACAATTGAATCGACCGGGCGTATTAGTACGTCCATCATTTTCGCTTGAAGATATTACATTACGATGAACCGAGCATAAATGTTTTAACAAGTGCGCTTTCTGTTTAAACATAGCAACGCAGAGTCGACAGGCAAAAGGTTTCTCACCCGTGTGAACTCGAAGATGCGTTTTGAGATTCCACGACATACCAAATTGTTTGCCACAGTATTCACAACGATATTCACGTACTGGCGCTTGCTTGCTGGATCCTTGATCATGTTCTGTTGATGGAGGTTCGTCTCCACCCATTTGTGGTTGGCACAGCCAAGGCCCCCATGAACCCGCACTGGGAGGCCGATACTTGAGAGCGTCTTCATGTGTTGCTGTAGGTGGAGTTGCGCTTCTTTCAGGTAAGTATGGTGGCGCTGATGTACTAAGCGGATGTAGGGCTCCAAGTCTTGCGGTTGCTGCTACTGCTGCGGCTCCTGCTGGTCCTTGCTGGTATCGTAAATGTGCTATTTCTTCTAAGTAACTCGGGGGATATGATACAAACGGGGGATTTTGAGAAGGTGAATTATGAAATCCAGGTCTTCTTTTCCGGTGAGGTGTAACAACGTAATTTTCCGGTGACGTTTGAACAAGTGACATCAAATCTTGATCAGGTGGCTTTAGGTGTGCATAATCTTCTAATTTGACAGCGGTCCGAAGATCCAACTCAGGCGGTTCTAGGTAATGTGATTTCCTCTTAGGTCTTTCTATTGTGCGACCTAGTCGATCACTGAGCAGTTGTCTTCTGTATACGTTTTCGCGAGGTTGATCGTCTTGGCTGGATGATGTTGATCTCCTCCTTTCAATATTCTGGAATTATAAAATATGGTTGTATTATGTATTTAAAATTACATATAATACAGAATACAATGCAATAGATAGGCATCTATACATACATAATTTGTGTTTATTCTATGACCAAAATCTAATTGTGCGATTAGGCATGTAACCGCCGTTTATTTAGTTTTCATTTTTATGTGGTTGTTGTGAAATTGAAAAGTATAAATACAAAGTGTAAGTGAAAAGTATATATTTAACTTGCTAGAATTTATAAAAAATTACCTTTGCTGCAACTGTCTCCACATCGACGTCCTGCGAGTCGTCATGTTCACTACCAGTATTTTCTGAGTTTCTTGTTACCGATAAATTGACAGGATTTGACGAACTTCTCCGCCGTGCTGTCAATCTTCCACATTCTTTGTTCTCCCCGTCTTGATCATCATCTTCTCTTTCATCATTACTGCTTGTGGACATGTTTTCTTTTTTTATGCTCATAGCTTCTGATTCCCGATCTTTTTCTTTACTGTATCCCGCACCCGGTGTGACTCTATCGCTTTCTGAATGTGATGACCCTGAAGGGGCATCGTGTTTACTGCTTTCATTACTATTGATATCTGTTTTGAGACTTTTTGCTTTTAACCGTTCACAAGATCTATTTCTTTCCTCTGCTTGTTGTCGTTCTTTTGTTGATTTCCATACATCTGATTTTATTTCCAGGAGCTCAAAAAGCTCTTGCATATCATCAATTTCACCAGACTGGAATTAAAGTGGAATTGAACATTAAAACTTATTAAAAAAAAAACATATAATAAAATTTCAAATTCAATAAAGAATTACCTCGATATATGCTTGACCACTGTACAGAAAGACGAGAAGATGCCTCATGAGAGTGCTGTTGATACCTGACATGTGAATAGTGACAGGGTTCTCAACAGATGGAGTGTCATCAAGAATTTTTCTGAAACCAAAATTATCAAGGTTATTTATATTTCATAAAATTATATAATAATTAATGACATCACAAAATGTGTTCCTAAAAAACTAATCAATTGTGAATAAATATTAAAATAAATAAATCCTATGGATTAAAAAATACTATCAAAATTGATGTAGCGTTGGCGATGGACTTTCTTTTATAATTATATACCTTATTTAGATTTTATATTTTTCGAATTTGGATATGTTTTCTGATATATGTATTTATTTATTGATACATCATTTTGTGAAGATAATAAAACTAACACGGGATAAGTATCCAATGATATTTATTTCTTTCTGCTGTCCTTCCACCAACGCATGATTAATAAATAATAGATAATTTCTTAAGTAAATAATAGGTAATTTCTTTTTTCTAAAAGCTTTTCTATACTATAAATATAGCTGGGTTGTCCTATGCCTTTTTTGTTCAGGCATTCAAATAATACAAAAGTTAGCAAATACTAATAAACAATCAATAAATCGATATGTTATACAAGCAAAAACAAAATAATATCGGTAGATACACAGATTAATCGCTGTACGTGTTTACAGCGAATTAGAATTACGATTAGGTAACTAGTAAACCTTCAACTAAATTGCATTGTCTTAGATCAAATAAAACTATTATATCCTTAATTTAACACTAATGACTATTGAATCGTTATTACTTACAGGATACTTGCCGTAAGTTATGTTTTTAAATTTAATTGAATATCTGATAGATTCTTCGATATTCGAAAATTGATATTATTTAAACGAAAAAAAAAGTCGACGAAATTCTTAGTTTGATTGTATTCTTTTTTTGTTTGCGTCTCAGTTGCTATGTAGTAGTACTACTCTTAGTCATGTGAGGCTATTGTCCTCTGTTGTCAAAGTGTTTAGATCACTTTCGTTGTACACGAAAACCTTTGATGTGGTACCGTATGACGGTTAAAAAGCCCTTATTGCATGAATCATAATAGGTTTAGCTTTGTACAAGTATAACCCGCTGATGTAAATGCACTGCTCTATTAATATTATGACCTTAGCAAGAGAAGCATATTAATCTCAGTGAGTAGGTTTTTTTAATGAGTGAAAATGGAATAGTAACCCCGTTTGCGCTATCGGTATACGCTGGCGGGACACCAGTGAGTGAGGTGAACATGTAGCAGATTAATTGCTCATCGTGATGAATTCATCAAAATTTAACTACGATTGTTTCCAGGGGGAACCGTGTCGACCTAGTAGGGTATATTACTAGTAATGGATCTATTAGATCTCATTACTAACTATCCCTTTCCCCCCTCAGTAGGTAAGTTAAACAAATCCTATTATGATTCTGGTAATGTGAGCTTTTTACTGCCCTCATTGATTGGTATTTTATATTTACCTGATGAGTGGGCTAGCAGCAGCCATAACGATGCGGTGAGCAGCTAGTGGTACAGCGTCGTCGCAAACCAGCACTAGGTCTGAGTACCTGGCTCCACGCCACGCAGCCCCCACCTCGTTCAGGATGCAGGCGTGGTGCTTGCCGTACGTTAGAGTCAGCAGGCCCTCGCCCATCATTCCAGCACTGGAATGAAGATAATGTAATGTTAGTACTACTGATAATATTACCAAAAACGGCATATAATCTATAAGAAAAATAAATAAATAAATGAAGAGAGAAAAAAAATACAAAAGTCCAAGATTTGATTAGTCGGCCTTTTGTTATTTATTTTCTTTTAAAATAAATATGTTTAGGAGTATAAATGGTAATATTATTTTTGAAATTTTCTATTTAGTAGGGCTCCTAAAAAAACATGCTTTATTTATATTAGTAAATATGTCTTTTTATAGCATTTCAATTAATAATCGAATGATAAGACATTAATAAAATCAGAAAGAATTAATTGCGTATGATTTAATAAAAAAAAATCTGCATTTAATTTTTAATGCTGTATTTATATATGATTTTATAGGTCTTAATTTGATTTTGATTGGTCTACAAGTATTTTCAATTAAAATAATTGAATTTCGAATGAAATCGGACTATTTATTCAGAAATAATTTAAAAGAATTTTAATTTTAATACTTGAATATAATTAAATATTTTCGTACTGTACAGGATATGCTCAATTTATATATTTTTTTTTCCGTTAAATTGTCGTTAGTAAAAATTGATAGTCTTAATATAATTACAGATAAGGTCATCACATCGCTGTATCCGTGTGTGTGTAGAAAATGTTAATTGGGACATTTGTGACTTCCATAATTCATTAGATTGCTACAAATGCAAAAAATATATATATATTATTTAATATAAAATTTAATTTTTACTAGAAACTTTGTATAAATATATCAAACATAGAAAACTAAATATCTAAATATGATTTCTGGCTGGTAATATTTAATAACAGTAATAAAATAAATTACATAATCAAAATGATTGCCTTCAATACTGATATACCTAATAAGGAAGTAAGTACTGAGTTTGATAATAATATATATTGCGATAATAACACGCCAATTAACAAAAGCAATTATCAGATATTCTGATCAACGTGTTTTCTTTGTCCAGTGTTATTATCAATGAAGATGTTAAATTGTATAACTGATGTGTTTTCGTGATGAGCCGCGTGCGATAATTCGCGCTGCAAATAAGTGAAATCATGCTAAACTTGAGGCCCGGCGTAATGTTTTCGGTTCACTAGTTCAATTCGATGCCAGACTGAAAACCGCTGGTATAAAAGAAGACAAGGTTGTACCTAGTCATCTGTTACGAAACGTTTCAATATCACCACTACAAAATTACTCGGATAAATTGAAACATCAAAAACAATGGTACCATCTTAACAATCCGAGTTTTAACATTTCGCAACAAAATTAAAAAGGTTAAAAGGTGAGAAGAATTTAAATGAATGTTAAGTCAACGCGTACTTGGACAGCCGAAAACAGTTACAGAAGTCCTATTCGCAGGTGCTAGAAAGCCTGTTGCAATAGGACCTTGGCCCGATAATCCATCGCAACGTGTTATTAGAGTTGCGATAGGAGTGCAAGATCGTTTAAAAGACGATCAACGGGCGCTTCTCTCATTGTGTCGGTATTTAGCAACGGTAGGGGTCACAATCGTCAGAATAACGTCCATTGTTGTCAGCAACTGTTCTATTGTTGCACTGTTACACCAAAAAGTCATATATAATTGCGGCGATCGCAACATAAAAGTGCAATGCGAGATTTAACAGTCGTGAATTCTGTATAGTCGTGGAATATTCGCGCAAAACAGATGATCTTTCGGAATCGTGTCACGATTTTGTAATGATTTTAGTTTCTTTGTTTGTTCTAATTTTAAATATGACACCAGAGAAATAATACACTAGAATAGTAGACTTAAATATATAGAATTATATGAGTACTTGTATTAATGTTGCCCATTAATTACTTCCTATACCGATGTGCTCAGTTGATTGGTACAGATCTCCTATAGAGATAAGTTCATCTTTGCTCACATTATCAGAGTGTATGTTACATACATTCTACCACTATTATAAATGCTAAAATTTGTGACGTATGATGAATGTTTGTTACGTACTTTTTCACGCAAAAACTACTGAACGAAATTTGGTACACGGATAAATTATGAGTACATAAAATAAAACGTAGAATACTTTTTAATAATGTTTAACGGGTGCGAAGACATGGGATATAGCTAGTTATACATATATTCATCAACTCTAAACCGATTTTTATATTTTTAAATATAATTATTAGGATTTACTTTAGTTTTGGTGCCATATAAAATTTGATACTATATTGAGCTCTTTTTTCACATACTACTCGTTTATAACAACATTTTATTACTATCACACTGGCCAGTTATCTTAGTACAGCATTTAGTTTCGAGTTTTTTTTTCTATTGCATTAGAATTCTTCTTCTTAGACATACGTTCGTAAGAAATATTTTTTTTATGTATGTTGTTTTTATCAGGTCAAGGAAGTGATCTCTTAATAGCGTTGTTTCTATCACATTAACATTTACATAGTCAGTTTTTATGAAGTTAAACGTACCTACCAATCTCAATGAAAAACATATGGAGTCAGAACAAAGACTTATTTCCTTGAGCGCGGGAAACGTGAAGTCATATCGAATAATAAATATTGTTGTACCTACTGGCTATTACAAAAAAAGCAATGAGATTATCTATGGGGGAACGTGATGTTGAATTTTCCTTGGGCGATGAATGTGGGCCGATCTCGTCTAATTGAAGGTCGTATGCTAAATGATCGCAAGCCATATATAGAGAACACAAAAAGTTCGTTAGTTGCCGAATTTATCGAAGATAATATTTTAGATGACCATTTACGTTGCGATGAGACTATTACAATATATATTATTAGAGTTGATTTGTTATGTAAGTTGTAACGAGGTGATAATAATATAATTATTGAATCAAAAGTTCAAATTACTATTGATATTCATTCCACTATGTAATTAAATGTGAAAGTTTTAAAGATAAGATATTTCGATGTTCGTTACTCAATCAATGCTGTTATTTTCATATTTATCAAATGTACTAGTTTTTAATTGCGTCTTCTTCCGTATGACCGGGATATATTGATTGGCCGGGTTAATAAGTAATCTATGTCCTTCTTTAACTAAACCAAATTACAAGAGATTGTTTTGAGTAATTAAGATACTGAGAGGCAACAAATAAATAAATTTATATTTAAAATATATTAACAGTGTGGTGCAAATTTATTTTTTCTTTTTAAATTATACTAAAACTGCGAAATGAAAAGAATACTTTTTATTTAAATTTCTATGAGCAAAGCCGCAGAATATGGTGATATTCAGTAAATAATAAGGACAGTGATTATTTCCATTAATGTGCAATAACAGAAGAGCCTGCTATTGAGTAGGCGGGTGTATTTTCTGGGCGGCGCAGGCGCAGCGGTGCGCGGCAGGCTCACCCGCCATTGTCCGTGTGAAGCCATTCGAAACGCTGCACTTCACATGTTTTGCATCAAACTACTTCTGCAGGGTTGTCTTCGCATAAAAAATTTACTGATTCAATGTTTTCATATTTTTTGTTCTCTTATTTTTGGTAATCCGATTTAGTATTTATGGTTTTTGTAAAATGTAATAACAATAATAAAACCTCTGTATTTATTGTGCACTGAAATAAAATAATAATGATAATAAAAAGATAACATTTAATATATGTTTTGTAAAATATATTCTTATTGTTAAATGTAACTATTAGAAACAATCTGATATGTAATACTTAATGTTATTAAAAAAAAGTATCATTCTTCAACTTTCTCATTGCGTAATAAAGAAAAGAGTCAGATGAATAAAGATATACAAATTAGTTGCTTCTATAAGATGGAAATGTAAAAAAGACCTAATAGAATAATAAAACGTTTATTATAAGTAAAATAAAAGAATATACGAGATATATAAAACCATACAAAAATTTACTATTTTAATATATTTATTATTATAATACAGAGTTGAATTTAATCAATGAATAACAATATTCTTAACGCCATCTTGAAGCTTAATGCTGAACTTTCTCTAATCTTGTTTAACTAAACAGATTACTAGATAGCAATAAATGTCTTTTCAAAGAGAAACACATAGATGGCGCTTCAAGATCGATAAATAATCTAGCAGTGCAGTAGACTAACACAATTAAACTAACAGAACTATAAGTAATAAAACTATGGAAAATATGTTTTTTTAATAATCATTCAATGAAACAAGAATGCTGACCTTCATTTTATATATAAATTTACTTTCATTATCACTTTTTTGTGGTAAACAAAATTCCGGAAATGTAGAGTAAACACATTCTCTTTACCTTTTACTTACTGATTTGGTATCCAACGAAGGCAATTCGGTTGGGCAATTGCTTTGAAAAAGTAATTATTAAGGTTGAACGAAAGTAAAAAACAACATTTTAACAAAAACAACGTGAGTACTTGATAATGTGAACGAATTGAATGTTCATCTCGTGAGGCTTACTCACATCTTATTTATCACAATCATTGTGTAGAACTAATAAATTGAAAATTAATGATACTTATACTTATGATTTCTATCATTTTCCTTAATACATATTTTACGTCAATACTAACTTTTCTTTGATGTTCTTTCTCTATAATTTTCATTGTTTCTACGCAATATTGATTTAAAAAAATAGCCTGTATTCTTCAGGGTTCAATCAAGGTACTATTGAAATTTAAAGAAAATTGATTTACCTATTCAGGCATTAAAATCAAACTGACCGAGTTGCTTTCAGATTTATAATTATTAAATATTTAAGTAAATTGATGAAAATGAATAATTTTATTTGCTTTACTGTCGTTTCGTTCTTTCTTTATTCGTTTAGTTTCGGTCGTTCTTTATACTGTCACCATACAAAATTATGTACATGGCTTCCAATTCCAGATTGCGGTAGTCATTTTTCTTTGGAATAACTGATAAGCAACTATATCTCAGACACTACCAACCAATACCAAAAATATTGTAATCCTAATCGTTTACTATCAAGTTAACTAAGATCATAAACCTCACTAAAACTACCACGC